AGAGAAAAAAAATCATGCATGCCACCACGTCCCTAGATATCTCCATCTTTATACCCCTCCAGCTACCCCCTCCTCCTCTCCCTCCATCTTTATACCCCTCCAGCTACCCCATCCTCCTCTCCCTCCATCTTTATACCCCTCCAGCTACCCCCTCCTCCTCCTGCCTCCTTTCTTCCGAAATTTCCCATGTCCTCCTCCCCTCTCACACTCCTTCCTCTCTCCGAATACTCCCTCTATTACCTCCTCACCTCCTCACCACCCTCTTACATCCCTCTCCAGATATCCCCCCTTCCAACTATTCCTAATCTTTTCTCCGCCCCCTCCACCCCCTCCTTTTACATCCTTAGTATAATTCTTTTGTCCTTATAAATTGAATTTCTAATTGAAACTTTCACTTGGCGCTCTCCTTGGTTCTTCTCCGTTCAATTCAACATTTTAATTTTAATCAAATCTAGAAAATATCAATGGCTGGTATTCGAATTTAAGTTAGACATGTTTAGAAAAAATTTCAGCTTTTGTTACTGTTCTATTCTGTAGATTTTTCTATTTCCGAGGAGGATTTCCATGATCTTTTAAAAAATTATTAAAACTCTATAGTTCGAGCCGTTTGGTGCAGTTTCTTGAAAACAAATAAACAAACAAAGACCATACATACATGAGCCCCCCCCCCCCTCCTGAACTTCTTAATTTCAAAAGTTTTTTGAATTTTCCACTGTTCCCTCTTAAGAATCTGCTCTACATCAGCAGATTTTATAATTAAATATATTAATAAACCCTTACTTGTTAGATCTAATAAAAAATGTCACAAATTAAATTTAATATTTCCCTCTCCACCAGAACTCTCTTGTAATCTCCCGAAAACGCAAAGTGTAGATTTTCCGAAATTATTTTGCGGATTTTCCATTTCCTAGAGATAAACCAAGAGTTGGATTATCAAGTCTTTTAAGTGATTCCAGCAATAAAGTTTAAGCTCTCAAGCCGGAGTAAAAAACAACCCAAGGTTTTATTGTCAACATTAAATGCCAATTTGGCAGAAAAGTGCAAAACCTGGCGGAGTTTTTACCCAAACCCGTCTTTTATGGGAACACTAACCTTACCCCGACACATTCTTATATATATATAGTTCTTCTTACTTCAAGTATAGGGGAGGGGGGGGGATACATTAAGTCTAAAAAATAGGTATTTTATTCAATAAATCGAGTTTCAACCTTAGCAACAAATTTTAGCTATGATACAAAAATTTGAAGACATAATTTTTTAAAAGTCATACATAAATTTGTGGTTGTCTTCTAGTTTTTTTTGTCTTTCTGTGTTTTAATGGTTTGTGGGTGTGGGTGTGAATGTGGGGGGTGGGTGGGGGGAGAAATAAATTGAGATAGCGAGAGGTTATAAAATGTCTCGTTAATTTAAAGGAGAGATTTTAATATTTTCAAACAAAGAACTAGATTGTTATTAAAAAGCAGTGACGTATAATTAGATTTTCGATTTTGTGTGACACTTTTTCAAAATAAGACATCAGTTAGATAAATTGCAATTTGATTATACATANACATTAGTTAGATATATTGCAATTGATTATACATACAGACATCAGTTAGATATATTGCAATTGATTATACATACAGAGACAAATGCAAATGAAAATTAAGAAAAATTGTCTATAAAAAGAGAAAATATTCTTTGTTCTGTAAATACATAATTATGAATAATTTATGGAATTAAATCGAACTATAATAAAAAACGTTTACTTAAAAATGACTGTAGGGAAAAATGAAAAGGGGTATAGGCTGAAAGCTAATCACTTTAGCTTTTGATCGCGACCCATGAAAGTTATATCTGATGTTCCTGTCTCGAGAAATTGATATAACACTGTGTCAAAGGAATTGAGTCTTTGTCAAGATATTGGAATTAGAAAATTTAAGTTTGTGACAAATACTCAATTCCTTTGACACAGTTTTATATCTCGAGACAGGAACATGAGATATAACTTTCATGAGTCGCGATCAAGAGTTAAAACCTATACCCCCTTTCTTTTTTCCTTTATAGTCCCTTTAATTGTTTAATGTTGTTAACCATTAATTTCAAAACCTCTGTAAAATGTCGTCTTCTACTGGAATCTCCTGTCGGAGACAGCCAAACCAAATTTTCAGCCCGCAAATTCCATTGTCCTCCTCCGACGGAGCTTGAAATATTTCGTTGTTGTGAAATCATTAAAGTTAAGCAAAATATTTTCATAAGAAGCATAAGCGAATTTCGTTAAATATTCAACTGTAATTTTTTTCAGAAGTTAAAAACGTATTTCAATACTGACCAACAAATAAGTCACCCCTTCTATACTTAAATAATTCGTAAGATTTTTTCTACTATTAACATTCATTATAACATTGTACAATTAAACATGACCTATAATTTATGTTATTTTTTAGGAAATAAAGATTTTGTTATCGAATTTCTGAGACGGGGTGACTCTGTGGTGTGTGTATTGTTCGGCCATCGGGAAAGAATCGTCTGGGGATAATAAACACCCCTTTCAAAATCCTAACCGGCCTATTATCCGGATTTGTCTAGCGGGTTGCTGTTATCTGTCAACAAATGTATACCTGTTAGCAAAGAGAATAGATAAGTATAGAGTGGAATTAAGTCGAAAGAGTATAAAACCGCCATTTTGTTTTACTTTTCCATACTGCAAGGTGTACTTCACACATTTGTGACATATAACTTTTTGGCCTTGGAACATCTATTAATAAAAAAAAAATTCTGGAAAATTATTTAATTTTCTCTTCATCAATTTTCTGACATGTATGCATTCCCGAGTTTTATTTCTGCATTAGCTTTACTTAAGATTTACGAGTTCATTTCAGCATAAACTTTATAAAAAGAAGATATTGTAACGGATATGTACAGAGTTGAATTGTACACTTTGAACTCCTTTTCAGGCTCAAAGGGACTGAACAAATTCATACCAATGGGCAATGGATATACTTATTTCCCTTCTATTCCAATCTCTGTTCTGTGGCTGTTAGTCTGTGGCCGGTATATAAACCTGAAACTGTTCTGCAAATGGGATATAAAGTATAAAATGTGTTCTTCATCTTTACTTGTAACTCTTAACTTCATTCATATCCCATTGCCCAATCCCATGGCAGCTGTCATTTTTATCATGCATCCAATAATTTTAGAGATAGAATTAAAAAAAAAATAATATCAACTAAACTAATGTTTTAAAAACAACCAAATTTCCTAACAAAGATTTATTCCCTTATAATTAGTTCGGCTTCTTTTTGTTTACACGTGCATTCGTCTCATCGTCTCTCATCTCATATCAATTCGATATGTAATGTGTATTCACGATTTATTGATATTAAGCCTCCTAAATCTTTTTAGAACAAAACACATCCCTTTCCGTTTCATTTCCCTTCCCATTCCCCTTCCCTTTCCCTTCTCTTTCCCTTCCCTTTCATTAATTTCCATAATATTCCCTTTCTTTCTTTGCCTTTATACCTTCACCTGTATCTTTCGACCTCCGCACATCAGTAAAACTCCACTTCGGACCCGCGCCAAATCCGCTATACTACACATCCGACGGATGGACTTGTGGCCGCAGCGCCCGGCCCCCTAGCCTTTCCTAGCCCCGGCGTTCCGCCCAGCCCCAGTCTGTCCTAGCAGCAGCGCTCGGCCCAGAAATTAACATAACCTAGCTTAACCCTCAAATCATACAAAAATTATTTTTCATTAAAAAATGCCATTTGATGTTGAGATTGAACAGTAAAAAATAAGTTTTTGATATCTTTTTAAACGGCTGAGATAAAGTAAAGACATTTTAACCGAAAGGATATAACTTTGTGGTCTTTAAAGATATTGTAGTTTTGTTTTTTGCACTGCAATAGAGACATGAAAGGGCATCTTTTTATATAAATATTTTTTTTTATAGGTGGCATCGTTTTGTCAAGCCGCTAGAAGAGTTAAGGAGAAAAATGCAGGGAAAACGGTTTTTAATTATGGCTTTTTTGGCCAATACCTTTCACAATTGCCTCTAAACATGTCAATTAACCATTTTTAAAGGCCATTTAAACTGTAAAAATATTTTAGATAGTTTGAAAAATAATTACATAAACCACTCCCAGATGGAAAAATGGTGAATATTAAGAGACGCGATTTTTCAACTTTTTCTAAATAGATAAACAAAAAAAGTTGAAAAAGTTCTGTCAAATATCGCCCATACTGCAAGTTAAATGATTTCCAAAATGTTATCACATTTCTAAATCCCTAAAAAATTGACAGAGACAACCCAATTTAGTCGAGACATGGTTGAAAAAGGCCAAAAATGGCGGGAAAAAAATAAATTAATGGCTGGGACATAATTAGGAATAATTTTTTTAAATGGTAAAATTTCGTACTTTAGCTAGATTTACCCTTATGCTAACTAAAAAATGTGGCATAGGTCCGATATTGCAGTAGGTCGGAAAGTTAGGTCAGAAGTTCAGTAGGGGGGATATTGCGTATAGACGATGCAACATATTACCCCCCTTTTACATTCTTTCCTCGCCAGTGAGGGAAATCAATTTATCTTCCATTTCTTTAATTCCTTTTCTCACCATATTAATTATAACTTTCATTAAATATTTTTTTCCTCCTAAATTTCCCGATCCAATTCCGTTCTCTACCTTTTCTAGTGTTAATCTATTCTCAATTCACTTCCCTTTCTTTTGCATTCCAGCATATTTGTTAACTATTAACATCATAATTCCTTTAAAAGGACGAAAAGCCATTCTCAAAGACGACATTATTAATTACAATTAGTTCAGATTTCCCGCCACAAAATGCTAGTTCACATTCTCTCAGTTTCATGTCTCGGCCGCCAGGGGGGCAGGGTTGCAGTGAGACTGGGCCAGCTGACTCGCCTTCTGACGTCACCATCCAGTCAATGACAATAGAATTCAACATGGCGTCCAGGTTATACTCTGGCAGAATTTTACAGTTTGTTTATTTTTTACAATAATATTGGTTTTATCAGCTGTTTACGTTTCAGAAATATATGCTAGGTATCGGGCGCCTAGCTAGGCACAAAGAGCAGACCAGCAAAGTCTGGTAGAAGCTCTACCCTCCCCTTAACACACAGCTGTATTCCACAGCTTGTGTAGATTCTACAAACCAGATAAAAACTAGCTTCAGGACGGCCGGGGAAAGCGAGAGAGTGAGCATGGCGAGTGCCCCTGCCACCTCCAGGTAATATTTATGAAAATTATGCTTCAAAGTATTCGTCTTGGCAAGATGATACATATTTCCTGATACTTCTGTTATGACCTACTTACGTTGCAGATATTTCGACATACTCAAAAAAATTGTCAAGAAAACCAATTTTGAATAACTTTTGTTTATTTCAAATAGTTTTTCATTGTGTTTTTTAATATGATAATCGTCTGTGTCTGATGTTTCCCAATTAAAGTAGTATTTAGATAAAAAAAAACTTCATTACATCGACTTATTGTTCTTTTGAACGATTGTTTTTTTGTTGAATTTTGTTTGATTTACTTTCTTTACTCTTCCTGTCAAAACCACCAATTATGTTAACTCCCTTTCACTTATTTAATAATGACCAATCGATCTATTGATCGCTTCATTTGAAATACATGTTTTAAGATTACAAACTTATTTATTTTATCTATTACCTCAATGGTATTCGGTTTTGCTTTTGATACAATTGTTATACTATATTTTGTACCAATACAGTTTTGAAGAAAAATTGAATTAATCGATTGCAATTGTAAAACAAGAGCAATATTATTTATTGGGAGGGGGGGGGGGCTGTATATTTTCCTCAAACCCCTCGGCCCTCACTCTTCACTTATCCTTCTTGTTACGCAATTCAATTAATTTTATTATCATTGTTGTTTTATAGGTCTGAGTTTGTTGTTGGAGGAAAGTACAGGTTGGTCAGGAAGATAGGAAGCGGAAGCTTTGGAGATATTTATCTAGGTAAACTATAACACATTTTTTTTTATAAAAATCCAAAATTACCCCCTCCCAACACACACTGTACACACAAAATTTTTATTTTTTCCTAAAATCCAGAAATAGATTTCGTGGAAAAAAAAACTCGATTTGATGTCCAGTTTATTTGTTTATTTTCCCCTAGAGCAACAAAAATTAATCCCCCTTGGAAGTATACCCCTGACCCTTTTCCCGCCGAATTAAACGTTTCCAAAGTTTCTTCTAGAAAATAAGATGACGCAATACTTGTTGAGGGATGATTCATACTGACTAATAGCTGAAGGGCCAGGCGTAACAAGTAAAAGAAAAAATATAAAAAATTAAGAACAAAAATTTCATTTATTTAGCCTATGCCATTCCCCGGCCACCCGTGAGTGTCTACTAAATTTTTGAAGCCTAATCGGTCCAGCCGTTTGGCCGTCAATACGCAACATATATATGAATGTCTTGTTTTATCATGTAGATTTAACACGTGAAAAATGTTTTTTTTCTAAAAAAGATATTTCTTACTACGAAACAATTTTTAAAAAGAGTGGTAAAATTATGATATATTTTTCACAAAAACTTTTTTATTATTTTTTGATGTTTTACGCCGGTAGGTTTCGATCAATTTTTTCAATGCTTAACATGGGCTCTTCTCAAACCAAGGGGTATTTATTTTATTTGAAACCCATCCTCCCCCCTTCCCTTCCCTTGCCTTTAGTTGGTAGGTCAATTTGTTTTAGCGGTTGATTCGCTAATTTCGTAAATAAATGATTTAAAGATATAATAAATTAATTACATGGGGAAACAAACCTATCTGAGGGTCTAAACTCATAAAGTATTATGTAGGGTGGAGAAACTAAGAATTTTTTTCTTCTCAAGTATCAAAAATATATAATCCTAAAAGAAGGATTAATTCAAATGAAAAATCAAAATTTTGTATTTTATTAGTTATTGTGTAATTAACATCATTGATGTTTTGATCATTTTATTATTTCCTGGATAAATTTGTTATCTCTAAATCAACCAATCAAGGTTATAATGTAAGGAAAGTTAATTGCAGTTGCGTATACTCTGCGTACATATTGAGACCAGTTCTCTCTGGGCTGAGTTTGTAAACAAGAATAGATGCATCAGTGTTCGTAGTATCCGAGGAGGATAAAAGCATTTAATCTTAAAAATTTTGATAATTCACATAATAGTTTTCTATGACCAGAATATTTCATTGATTTTTTATGTGAAAGATGGATCCCATGTATGGCTTTGACATTAGTCTTGTTTACATTACCGCCCAGAGACAGCACACTGCAGTACAAAAGATGCGTACACCTCTGAAATAACTTTCCTTGCATTATAACCTTGCAACCAATCAAGTTCATTCATAAATGATTTAACCCGTATTCCTTTATCTAGGTATAAACATCACCAACGGGGAGGAGGTTGCCGTTAAGCTTGAGAGTGTGAAGGCTCGTCATCCTCAGCTCTTGTACGAGTCCAAGCTCTACAAGATTCTCCAGGTATGACTCTCTCTTATCCCCTCCCTTTCCTGTCCACACCTCCCTCTCATGTCCACCCCTCCCTCCTTTTCCTTTCCACCCGTCCCTCCTTTTTCTGTCCACCCCTCTCCTTTCCCTTCCTTTCCCTTCTTTTCCCCTCCTTTACCTTCCTTTCCCTTAGTTTGTCTTCTTTTCCCTTCCTTTCCATTCCTTTCCCTTAGTTTGTCTTCTTTTCCCTTCCTTTACCTTCCTTTCCCTTCCTTTCCTTACACCCCTTCCTTCCCCCCTTTCCTTCCCTCCCCTTTCCTTCCCTTCTCTGTCCTTTCCTTCCCTTCCCTGGTTTGGGCCCAATGGGTTCAGCCATTCTGACGTTTATTGGAAACAAACAAACAAAAAACAGAAAAAGCATCAAACAAGTCATATATATAAGATTTATAAGATAATCATGGGTTGTATTTTTATCATTTTCTTTCCTAACCTGCATCTAGTAGAATCCAACTTGGCTTCCTGTAGGCAAGCCATGTTATTGTCGGTTAACCTGAATATAAAATATCAAATTCTTTCTTAACATGCTTGTAAATATCAAATATGGTTTCATGCATTCACAAGTTTCTATTTTGATGCGGCTCCACAAAAATATGTAAATTCTAACATATTTTTAATTTAAAATAAAATGGCTATAGTGTTTAAAAGAAATACAATTTAACAGAATAAAAATAATTGTAACAAAATGTTGAGTTATTAAGTTATTTAGACTTCAAATAATATTTCATTTTTATTGAATTTTTCTTGAATCTTAAAATATTTGTTGTGTAGACTCAAGGGAAAAGTGTTTTAAAACAAATGCTAGATCTTTGCAACTCAATGTTGTAGACCTTTGATATTACTATGAACTCTGTTAGGTCAAATAGTCCCAGTTTGAAATATCAAAGGTTAATTAGAAAATTTGAGTTTGTACAACATATGTACAGTGTACGTACACTGTACACAATTACCTGCACTCCATATCATCGGTACATTCCTCCATATACTTAACTGCCTGAATACATCCTCCCATCCACACTCGAGACCCTTCACACATACAGTGGTAGACGATTATATCAATACAATGAAAACGACTTTTTTACTTTTGATTGTTGACAAGCTTTTTTCGAAATTACAAGTTTACAATAAATAAAAGAGAAGATTTTTTAATTGGCAGATTCTCTTGACTTCTTATTTGTATCCATGCTTTTTAACAGCTTAATATTAAATTATGGTTTGATAGTTCTCTTCTACAGTTATACCTTTATTGCACTTGCACTCATGTCTACCAAGCTCGCAGAACTGAACCGTGAACAAATTCAAATAAATGATATGATGTATTTAATTAATACGTAAAACAATATAGACAAATTACAAATTTAATTTTATGATAGCATTGGTTTAGATAGGTTTTAAATAACAAACCGAAATTAGTAAATGTCAATCAAAAATTGAGAAATTTCAAATCAGAATTAATAAATTTCAAATCAGAACTAGAATATTTCAAATGTACACATACGTACAATTATCATACAAGGAACAATACATATATATTACATATGATGTGAATTTAAAGTTGAAATTTGACTAACTTCAATTTTATAAAGTTTGTCAACGTTTTACCTTCTTATGTTTTTTTGTTTAAAATTTTAAACTTGATTAAAATATTCAAATTTTCCTGGTTTGCTTCACAATTAGAATCTTCAGAGCAAAATTCAAAAAGGCTCTAAAATAAGGGATACCAAATGTAAAAATATGATTTCAGATAAAAAAATTAATAAAAAAGAAAATTCTGGTTTAATGTATGTCGAGAAATAATTTGTGAAACATTCTTGGCACCTTCCAAAGTTTTAGATAAATTNAAAAAAAAAAAATGATGTAAAAAAATATATGGTTTAATTAGACAGATTATAAACATTCACCTTATTTGAGCTTGGATGGATACAGAAAAGAAGAATTGAAGAAATGATAAAACCTAAAGCCATCATTTCTGCAGAAATCTTAATAATCCTGAATCTTTATCATTGGTAAGCATCATCTCTGAGATTATATCATCTTAAATTTTAAATTTAAACATCTCATGTTTTTTAATCAATTATGATCCATGATGTTTATACAATAAATACAGAGGGGCCTATTCAGGAATTTGTCCCGGGGCGGGGGTAGGGGGCTAATTATTTTTCTCTCTCTGAGGGGAGGCTCAGCACCCCTTGTGGCCCGAAACCCCCCCTGAAAATCATAGATTTCACTGACCCATGGGGGGAGGGGGAAGGCTAAGCACACATATAGCCCTCCCTGAATACGCCTCTGAGTATATAAATATGTATGCATTGCAAATGAAGCTTATTTTATACTCGTAACCATTTTATTCAAATGTATTCTAAAACTGTGGAATAGGATCGACAACGTTTAATCAATTAATTTGTGTATTTTAGCCTTGTTGTAAACCATGTCGGTTATCAGGGGCGGATTAAACCATTATCTGAGGGGGTGGGCCATGATTGCGCGCGTAAGCGCGTAAAAAAATGTTTAGGACCCCCTGGGCCCCTCTAAAAACTGAACAAAAAGCAGTAAGTTCCAATTTCTTATTTGTTTAAAAAATATAAGTTTACAAACTCCAGTTCTCCAACTTTCTATCTGTAAACTCCAGTTCGTCTAATGTCTATGCTTTTTATCTGTAAAATCTAGTTCTCTGCTACTTTCTGTCTGTAAACTCTAGTTCTTCTATACTTTCTATCTGTGAACTCCAGTTCTCAGCTTTCTATCTGTAAACTTCAGATCTCATATGTTCTACCTGTAAACTCCAGTTCTCACACTCTCTATCTGTAAAACCCAGTTCTCCTCATTTCTATCTGTAAACTCCAGTTCTTCTACTTTCTATCTATAAACTTAAGTTCTTCTACTTTCTTTCTGTAAAATCTAGTTCTATCCTATTAGTTCTCCTATTTTCTACCTGTAAACTCCAGTTCTGTATACTCTCTATCTGTAAAACCCAGTTCTCCTCATTTCTATCTGTAAACTCCAGTTCTTCTACTTTCTATCTATAAACTAAAGTTCTTCTTCTTTCTTTCTGTAAAATCTAGTTCTATCCTATAACTTTCTATCTGTAAACTTTAGTTCTCCTATTTTCTATCTGTAAACTCCAGTTCTAGAGGACCTATTTAATAAATGGGGGATACATAGGATACACACTATCTTGATCGAAGGAAATAATTGATATTGCAAACGATATCAGCGAGCCTTTTCTCTTGAGGATCATCCAGATACAAGTTTTTGACAGTTAAAAAGAAATATACGATACGCTTCAATTATTTTTTAATCGGTTTATTTAACTATAGAATTGAATTTTTATCGATTGAAATTTGATTCATAAAAAGATGATAACTGATCATTATCTTAATTTATAAGTTTTTTCTGCTATGTATCAGACTGAAGATCGTAATTTAAGTATTCAGGAACCGTGGTCGGCTTTGAAATCTCATCTTTTGTGGGTAACTCTTTAATTAAATAATAATTTAATAAAGACGACATTACTGATACGTGAAAAAGGATTTAACCTGACAACCAATGAGAATGAGGGAAATCTATACTGACCAATCACAAGACAACAAATTTAATTTCTCCCAATCATAAACTTCCAGAATTTCCCAGTTTACAAATCAGCTGAAATCGGTACTTTTTAGATTTTTTGATGAGATTTAAATTGCAATTCAAACAACATACTCTCAAAAATTTAAGTGAAAAAACTGAAATGTTTATAAAGACGACTTTTTTACCTTAAAATGTTGGTCACATCCTGGAAGTATATATGTTTGAACGTTGATGTAATTGTAAAATTCTTCATAGAAAATGATAATTAAAAAATTACTGCGGTGGTTATATCGGCTAGATTTTTCTGAGTCAATTTTAATTTTAGATATAATAGATGAAATTTAGAATCTCAGGGGAATAGAAGATTGTTTTAAGACAACAGGTATTCGAATCAGTATTAACCCCCCCCCCCACCCGGCCCCAATATAACGATGTGATGAAAATACTAGGAAACAATTGCAAACCATTCTCAGTACTTGGCCGCATCTGGAGGAATTGTGATGCAGCAAACGCGCTAAATATTTAGGGGTCGTTACAGTTAATGAACCCTATTTTTTCGGCTTCCCCATGAAGCAACGAAAATTTTATTTTAGATATGTTGATTGTTGATAAAACAAAATATGGTAATTTCCTAAAGAGNTTGTCCATCCTATTCCTGAAATAATACAAAGAAATATAAATAAATTTTTAAATTTGTATTGAAATAAATAAAATGGGCATTTTAAAAATTGTCAGGAGGGGGCCTAGGTCAGGCCCGACAAATTCTAAAGAAGGCTCTTTTTGTTTAGAATGTTACGGAGGTTGATTGTGCTGGTCTGGCTGGTTACCCTTGTCAGATCTGTGGATAGATCAAGGAATATATTCTTCAAGCGAACTTAGAAAAATTAATAAACGTCTACCCCTGAAGTTATAAGTGTCATCATCGATTCATGACCGCACTCAAAACACCGTGATCTGAGACTGAGTAAATGGGACAAACATTACATTTTTCGTTCTCGAATACAACTATTTTTCTTATCCCATGAAGTATGGGCCTGCGACCGGTAGTGCTTAGGATCTGGATCTGCAACACTTTGGCTACCTGGATCCGGATCCAAGAAAATAATTTTCCGATCCATGTCAAAATAACAACCAAAAAAACCTGCTAAAAATGTTCTTTTTGCTCTAAAAGCACAAGTCTCCACTGTTTACTTCATAAAATCTATGAATGATTCATTAAATTTAAGCATACAAATAAGCGTAAAAAAGGAAGACATAAATTTGGAAATCTCTTCAAAAAATCAGTAAATCTTAAGAAAATGTTCATGATTCGGATCCAGGATCCTGATCTGCATCAAAATGAATTGTATCCTAAGCACTGGCCACCGGTTTACTCACTTGAGAAACTCACACCAAAGACGTCAGTTTTGTCGACCACTGTATTGTCCGCCGAGAAATATTTAATGCAAAGCCATGATGTATTTGTTAATTTTGAGATTGAAAAATGAATAAATCTCCATTCTCAATATAAGATGAAATTTCGAAGAAACTGTATTGAATTGTTAATGGCGATTTTCAAAAATGGGGTCAGTTGAAATTACGTCGACGATTACTTAATATAAAGTTTTCAAAAGATGATAGATAAAAAGAATATAATTGAATAGGTTTAAAACCTGTTCGCAGTCAGGGTTCTGTCAACGTTGTCGAGCTAAACAGGAAAAGACTCAAACTCTGACGATTTTTTTCTAACTCCTACATTATTTTCTAGCTAAAACCCTAAATTTTTCGATGGTTCGATGGTTATTTTGCCTTTGTATTTCCATTTATTGTGAAATGAAAAGAACTAAAAGATAATGTTCAATTGAGAGTTGATTTACGAATTTCTAAATATGTTGTGGAGTATTTTATTAAAATGAATTGTTGTAGCGATCTTGAACCGCAAAACTTCGCAGTCTCATTTACAATTCTCCTGTTCCCTCGGTTTTCTATTTTTACCTAAGTCTCCGTTTCCTTCCATTTCTATTCTTGAACCAGTGTCCTGAAGTTTGAACTGTAATCAAGGAAAATGTGTTCACCCTGTCTCCTGATAGCTTACATATTTCTTCATCTACAGTCGAGGCTCTACTCATTGATACCAAGACTACTGTTAAATACAAACTAGAGATTAGTGGCCTAGCAGACAATACATTTAGGTTTATATCTTTTATATCTCATTAATAAATATATTTTTTTCCTGAAAAGGTGCCCACCCCCTGGATTCCAGTAAACTTATGTTCAATAATAATTTTAAAATAAAAAAATATTGTATGATACGCAAAAATAACGCCTAACCTTGTTTAAAACAAAAAAAATCTCCAAAACTGGTTTGTGAATTATGGTTCATTTCTCAAGATTTATTCACTTAGTTTGGGAAATAATTTCTTTGCTAATTCTGGACAATATATCCTCTTTTATTTTACCATTAATCGTATGTTAGATATTAAATTTGTATTTACGTTTTCAGGGTGAAGGTAACAGAAGCATTCCCACTGAAACCAAGATTTGAGGTTCCTTTAGTACTCCAGCAGGTAGCAGAAATTTGAAATTTTGAACTTTTGGATATCTTTCCCAATATTATGAAATAAGAAGTTTAACTCCGCTTATTGGAACAAATTCCCGTTGGTGAATCCGCCCGGGAATATATTATTTGCGCGCATACTCAAAAATTATAAATCGCTTAGAATTGGCTTGGCATTGATGAAGTTAATTTTTTACTCTATTACTGCGCTCTCAGCTAAAACTCTTGGTTTTCAGCAACACTCTTCGGAATTAATTCTGATTAGTTACCGCTTCTGCCGAAAAATATGCTCACTGAGGGATTGGGAAAATTTAGTTTATCATCCAAATGTTCCTATCTCTTGTTAAAATTGTAATGGATGAGTTATCTATTTAATATTAAACAGTAAATTCAACTAGATTGAGCTCACTGCAATCACTAAGCTAAGTCAAGATGCCGACTCCTTATCTTTTGGATTATCTGCGGATACAAACAGCAAGGTGGTTCTCAACTACCAACCTTTCAGGCTAGACTTCTTCTCAGGTAATTGTGCCAATCAGTGTCTAGGATCCGGATCCGTTGGATCCGCAAGATTTTGGCTTCCTGAATCCGGATCCGCAAAAATATGCGTATCCACATACAATGGGCAAATTATCAACCAAAACGGCAAAAAAATGTTTAATCTAAAAATCGAAATCTGAACTATTTAAAAAGAGAGATTATAAGAAGTTCCTGATTTCTGAATGGTTCATCAAGTTTTAACATTAAAATAAGCGAAAAAAATAAGGCAAAAATTTGAAATTTCTGCTTGTTAAAAATTAGTATATTTTAAGGTAGTATCCTGGATACGGATCCGCATAAAAATTAAATGGATCCAAAGCACCGGTACCAAAATATGCTTAAAGTATCAACTTAAAATATTTAGCTCATTGATATAAAAATACGTACCAAACTGCGTTTTTTTCGGCCATCATTTTTTGATGTTTTTTGTTGTTACTAAGTTAGGGTGTAGTAAATACAGTGCCTGATCATATAGCTATACATTTTAAATTACGTTGTACATGGTCTATAAATCTAAATGCGGTTATCCTGAACTACGCAAAACTTGTAGGTTCTGTCCTAGAGAACGATTTTTGGACCCCCCTGGTCCCCCCTCCTATCAATTTTGTACATGACCTTTAATTTTAAGTTATTTTGTATTATTTAGGGTTAGGTTAGGTTAAGACACTTTCTGGGCCGAGCGCAGCGGCTAGGACAGGGTAGGGGCCGAGAGCCGCGGCCACGGGTTAGGTTAAGTTAATACACTTTCCGGGCCGAGCGCTGCGGCTAGGACAGGCTAGGGGGCCGAGCGCTGCGGCCCCATNGGGGGTCCAAAAAATGTTCACTAGGAATATACCAACTTGTAATGTGATCAGCTTAACTACGATGATATATTTCTGTGCAAATCCCGTATGTATGCACGTATATTAACTTAACATGCATCATAAATTTGTATAGAAAATACACATCAGTTGGAAAATACTCCGCTTTGATTACGATACGAGATCGTTCCCATTGGTTTGGCATTGAGAGTTTGCGTCCTTGTGTCCCTGTTGACATAGAAGCCTATGAGTTCGTGCCCATTGGTTTGGTAATGCTAGTTTGTGTGCTTGTGTCCTTGTTGACATTGAAGCCTATGAGATTCTGCCTGTATTTTGATATCGATAGTTTGGGAGTTGTACCTGGATTGATACGGGTCTGAAAGCAATTTATGGACTAGGGCATTTACTACAAGGGTTGTTTACTTTCGATAAAGGGAGGCCTTTGATGGTTCATTATTTAACGTTGTTTTTTACCAATATTTTTATTTTTAGAAATTTCGTCTATTAGCTGTAATTGCCAATCCTTTTTTCGTTATTAACTCATAATTTATTGTTCCTTGCGAAGAATAATTGGGCACTAGAATTTCTCAATTGACTAACGTTCATGTTCCTTGTTCATAAAAACATTATATTTTATCTTTTAAGCCAGACCATCGCGTATTCGTCACTCATTAGTATACGACCCTAACAGCCCCTCCCCCCATCTGATGCACCCATTATCTCAGGTGGTGCTGACATGTTGGGCCATCTGTTTTTTCTATGGACACAGATATCATATGAGGCTTTTTGTTAAAAATTAATAAATAACCTGATCAGGGGGAGAACTGGTGATGTCCGCGAACTCCCGAGGATTGATGAGGTTTGAACATACTAGAGAGAAGGTGGAGGGAGATGACCAGAATGAAACTGAACCCGGCATGTGGCAGGTGATTGCTAAATATATTCAGCAATTCTTAGTTCTTCAAAATTGATTATAACTTCGCCCTTGAACCTAAGTTTTACAAAGGAACTGATAAATCTCAACAAACTCTAATTTTCTGATCACTATTTTTACTCCCGCTGGATGTAAACATTCAAATTTTGACGATTTGACCTGGCAGAGTTCATACATTGAAATATCAAGAACTACGAAATCAGGTTTCGAAAGATTAGATTAGATCATTAGAGTATGATGAGAGTTCTTTCAGATTGACTATTAAATATTTTGATTTAAGCAACAAAATCAAATAATTGGATGTTTTCAGGAAACCTTTGGAGGACACACAGACTCAAAACCCAATGGACCTCAAGCAGTAGCATTGGACTTTGCTTTCATTGGTAAATACATCTTTTTTCAAAATTTTAGGATTCATTTAGATTGAAGAAGAAGTTTCTAAAATACATGCAAACTTAGATTTCGTTCCCAGAATCAGCTTTTAAAATTTTTTATAACATTCTTCAAAATTCAACCTTAAAATCAGTCGGTCTTTTAAAATCTAAGACTCACTACATAGTAAAAAAAAATCAAAGCAATATTTGAGTTTATTCCTTTTTTCCATGTAAAATCTTAGATTGTGGCTCGATAAGACCTAGCTATATTCTGGAAGACCGGAGACCATATTTAATGAATAAGAGAAGTACTTAAATAACATTCTTAATTGAGCCACTTTTCTAATCTTGACCCGGCGCACAAGACAACTGTTAGAACCAGTGTTACGTAGCTCAACTACTCATCGCTATTCATCGAATTTGGTCCCATTTTCAAGATTTATTTGTTTTAATAAGTTCGTCTTGTAAAGTTCCCGCGAATTTTGAATTGCACAGTTTACGGCATGAAGGTGATGCTTTTTAAGCCTATGATTCCTAGACTTTGACATTATCGTGGACGGAAAACTAGTGCACGACACCGGATAAGCCTAGGACTCCTATGGCCTAGACTGAGCTGGGTATCCAACTCAAGTTTCGCCTTCTGCTCCCAAAATGCAAAAATTGACCCCATTTGATTTTATTTATAATATGAAGAAAAGAAACTTATTTAATCTAATATTTAAGGAATGGAGCATGTTTATGGAATCCCGCAACACGCTGATACCTTCAGTCTCAAGGATACAACAGGATCAGATCCCTACAGACTCTACAACTTAGGTAGAACTTTTATGTAGATATGTAATGAGACTATATGCTTAATTTCAAGTTACCCTCCATTCAAAGATGGCAATGCCCGATTCACAACGATACCCTTCAAATCTTCGACTGATCAATGTTGTTGGACTTGTTCTCATTAATCTACAAAACGTGTTATAATTGGCAAAAAATGAATATTTTCTTTCGAATTTTTTGGAAATCGTTTTTAATGTTGAATATTGGTAATGCATCAGCTGTGTTGAGGTCAAACTGTACACCGCGTACACAGCATTTTAAAGGGATTAAAGTGGATTTCAAGATATTTAAACAAAGAGCTCTTTTTCACAATGAGTATTGAATAGTCAGGTCTGGTTTAAAGCGTACAGTTGTATGGACGGTATTTTATAATTATGCGTACAGTCTCTTTAACCATGTAAATACAGACTTTACCTTCCTTCCCCATCACTTCTTATTTTCTCTTTAAGCATAAAAAAAATCTCAATTTCTTTTTACTATTTTTTAAGTAGCCCAATGTTAATAATTTACTTTTGTTTATTATTTTTTTAGATGTATTCGAGTATGAACTGTGGAACACAATGGCGTTGTATGCTGCTATTCCGTTCATGATGGGACACAACAAACAGTAAGTCGAGCTTTTTAAAACTATGCCAAACTCTGTAAACTAGTCCGAAAAAAATATCATATATCCTTCTGTTTTAAAATATATACTGATAGTTAATTGATTGTATATTGCGATTTTGTAGACACTGATAGTTAATGACTGTTTTATGTAATGAGGACTACGATTAATTATTAATTGATTGGTTGATGTGATTTGGAAGACGACTGATCTTTGATTGCTTCATGTGATTAGGAAGACGACTGGATTATTTGTGCTGAATGCTGCGGAGGGTTGGGTAGACATCAAGAAGAATAATGAGGGTATACTAGGCTCCTTGTCTAACATGGTATCCGGTAGTACCCCACAAAAACAGGTAGATAAACGATTTAATATTTGGTAATTTACTTGATTTCAGTTTTTTTATTTTTTCAATTTTATGATTTGTTATTATTTTTTTCATTCCATTTCTCAGAAGGATATTAGAAAAAAAATGAGATATATTAATTAGACCGTTTCGGGAAAAAAGGATAGAAAATTGCTCCTGTACATTTTCTAACCCTGTCCTTAAACTAAAAAGTTAAATACAATTTTAAGGTTGAGACACACTGGATGTTTGAGTCTGGGGTTCTAGATTTCTTTGTTCTACTGGGACCTGGTCCTAAGGAAGTTTCAAGACAATACGGAGTTCTTACAGGTATTATTCAAGTTGCTGTGCTGGGTTCATAACAGATATCTATATAACCTGGAAGCTTGGTGGGAGGGGGGGGGGGAATTTTGAAATTTTGTGCAAGTATATGTATTTAAATAATATCCCCCCTTCTCTTCAGACGCAGTGATGCTTTGATTGGAAGGGAATTATTTCAGCGTTGTATATGTTTGTTGTATTTTTGCCCCCCTCTTCCGCTTTCAGAATTATATCTTTGCCCCAAATTCACTACTTAAAAACAGGTATATGGTAACTGAAGCCGCGCAAACTACAAAGAAGTTTGCTGCTGCAATAGTATATTGGAGTGTTTTAGTGCCTTTAAAAAGTCAACTTCGAGTTCCCCCTTGTGATTTTTTAAAATGCATTTCTGAAACTCTTCTTTGTTAAATTTCTCTTTTCTCTTCCCTCTTTTCCCTTCCCATTTTCCCTTCCCCCTTCTCCATTTCCCTTCCCCTTTTCCCTTTTTCCCTTCCCTCGTCCCCTCCCTCTACTCCCTTTCCCTTACTCCCTTTTTCCTTTGCTCTTCTCCCTTTCTCCGTTGCTCTTCTCTCTTCCCCCTTTTCTTCTACCTTCCCTTCCCTTTTTCTTATTTTTTCTTCCTTTTTTTTCTCCGAAACCCATTGAAAGCTCATATTTTTGCTCCTGGGGGGGAGGTCAAACAAAAAAATATACACCCCCTAAATGATTTTTGACGAAAAGGTGTGGACTGTGGATGAAATTAGAATCTTAAATTAAACAGATAACATTTAATAACCATCCCCTTTTGAATGTTTGAAGAAAAATATTTGTGTATTCAGGAACAACACCGCTGCCCCAAGAATTCTCTATTGGCTACCACCAGTGCAGATGGAACTATAACGACCAGGGAGATGTAGAGATGGTAAGTTTATGGCAATTTAAATTTCTTTGTTATTTTCATAAACGTTCAGATAGGAACAGTTGTTTCATTTAAGCATGGAGATTGGAGGGAATTGTTTAACGCCATACGGGGTTGTTGAACGCTATACGGGAGTGTTAAACGCCATACGGGAGTGTTAGACGCTATACGGGAGTGTTTTATGCCAGATGGGAGTGTTAGGCGCCATATGGGATTCTTATACGCATTTTGCAATACGGGATTTTTGAACGCCATACGGGATTGTTATATGCCATACGGGATTTTTTTTACGCCAAATGGGTTTTTTATACGCCATATGGGATAAAAAGATAAAGATAAAAAGATAAAAAGATAAAAAGATTTTACATTATAAAACTTATTTTAGGTTAATTCTAAATTTGATGAGTTTGATATACCCATGGATGTAATGTGGTTGGATATTGAACACACAGATGGGAAGAAGTATTTCACATGGGACGGACGGAAATTCCCAGGTGCTTTTACCTTGATAATTTCAATCTTTTTGGTTGTAGATCCCATAAGCGTCAAAACAGCCGAAGCGATCTGGCCCAACTTATCATGGGCTTATCATGACCACAAGGAAGGTTTATGACAATATGTGACCTCACTGAAGGTTTATGGCAATTCAGACCTCACAGGGGTAAAATTTCGCCAATTTTTTCATGGTGAACGAAGAAAATGTCTATATTGATGTCGTCAGTTTCTGAATTAGAAAAATGAGCAGAAGTCAGATGCCATACTTTTTCATGGTTACCCTCTTGTTTTATTATTGTTACTTCCATATTTTATTTTTTTTGTTTATCAGGATTATTTCCTCTCTGTTATTGTTAGCCATTCTTTTTCTTTCGTTTAATTACTTATTTTAAGTTACCACAAGTTTTATTAATAACAATCCCTTTTTCTTTCATTTTCTATATAGTATTATCATATTTTTAAACTATTACTTGCAGATCTATTAAATTTTTTTTTGTCTAATTATGATTGTAAATTATAGATAGTATTGAAATGACAGAGAACCTGGTTTCTCATGGCAGGAAGTTGGTAACTATAGTAGATCCTCATATCAAGAAGGATTCAGGATACTGGGTTCACAACGATCTTACTTCTAAGGGAAATAGTGATCTCTTTTAAAGGATGTATTTTTTACCCAAATATTTCCCACAATAAATCATTTTATCCCCAGTTCAGAGCATTAAACCTTCCAAAAATGTGTGCTCTGGAAAACTTTAAGAGGGGTAGTGGTAATTGATTAAAGAAAATATATTCCTCTGTCTCTTTTCTCCAGACAAATTTTTTTAATTGTGGTTTTAATAAATTAGTTTGCATAGTTATTCCAGTTCCTAGTTATCAGCCTTTTTTATCCCAGCATTTTGAGGACTTATTTCAACCTTTAGAACATGATGTTTATTTGGTAAACTGAGAGGTTTTTATTGATCTTGATTATTTTGATAAGTAAAAAAATGTCATATTTATGCATATAACTTAATTTAAAAATAACAAACGTTTTTTTCTGAAAATTGTATTTTCATTATATTTGTCACTATTTCTGAACTGAACAGGGCCTTTACGTGAAAAATAGTGATGGTAATGATTACGAAGGATGGTGCTGGCCAGGTAAATTCAAAATTATATAAACTATTATTATTTTTATTACTCTTTATTTTTGGGCTTGTCACACATGAAGTGTAAAAAGACTAATAATAAACAGTGAACTGAACTTAAACAAACTAGATATACTGTGTTCAGGTTCAAGCTACTATCCTGATTTTCTGAACAAGGATGCTAGAGACTACTTTGCTGAACAGTATAAACTAGAAAATTATAAGGTACAACAATTTATAATTTCAATAGCTAGAGAATCCAGTGGCCGAATTTAAAGAATTTGAGCGAGGCTTAAATTTAAGCCGCGGTTTAAATATGGTTGGTTCCACTTAAAATTGTATTAACTGTTTCAAGATTTAAGCCGGCGCTGAATTTAAACCGGGGTTTGGCGGATTTAAACCGCGGCTCAAATTCTTTAAATTCCATCTCTGCTTTTCTTGGAATCTGATCTTACTCTAAAAGTCAACCTTTTCAACTATGAATTTGAAATACAAGCAAGTTACACAATCAATAAGGGATGCAAATTGGTCGAGGGGTTACTAATTATGATCGGACATACAAACAGACAAACTAAAATTACTAATTTATAGAAATATATAATTTAGGTGACATTGTTTAAGGTATTCTTTTTAATGATATCTTTTTCCATGGATTATGAAATAACTCAATCAAAGTATTTCATATTTATCAGAAAAAACTTTTGCAAATAATATATGCAGTTAAAAATAAATATAAATTATAGTTGCATTCCTCCATCTTTCCTTAAACTTTGAATATCTATAAGTAGATTGCAATTTTTGAAAAGTAAATTTCTTGAACTTTAAATTTTAAGGAGGCATCTTCTCAGAGCCAAACCTATCGATTCTATTCAAAGAGAATGAAGTAAAGGGTTGAAACTTGAAAGTACTTATTCAGGGAAGTACTCTGGATGTTTACACCTGGAATGATATGAATGAACCGTCTGTGTTTAATGGACCTGAAGTAACAATGCCTAAGGTAATTACTATTTTTGAAATCTATGTTCTTTTTGTTACGTGACTAGTACAAAAATTTTACGTTCTAAACCTCAGTAAAGTTTAAATGTTAAATGAGAAATAAAGTGGTTTAAAGATCAAAAATGCGGCCAGTATTCGAATTTGTAATGTAACATTAAATCAAAATAATGCTTATAAGGGAATAAGGAATTGTCGATTAGTTTATTATTATTTGATGATAATTGTTTTATTTTATGATAAATTATTGATTTTGTTCAGGATAAAAAGCATGGAGAATATGAGCACAGAGATCTACATAATCAATACGGAATGTTGTACTCAATAGCAACTCATCAGGTGGGTCATTTATCTTCCTAAACCGACTAATACTATAGTTCAGAGAGAACCTAAAACTCCGAACTAAAAGTAGAACAGATTTCAAGTGACTAGATAGATTTATGGAGTTCCATGTCCTCATTCATGTTCAAAAGAAATTGTACCGATGTGAATAGTACACACCACTCTTATTAATTTAAGGGTTACTTGAAATAAAGTCTACAGAATAGCAGTTTTAAATTAAATTAAATTCTCAGTAAAGAAATAAAAGATGTTTTTTTGTCAAATAATTTTCATGTCTCGTCAATTTAATCTGGCCTAACCAGTCAAAACATCCTGTCTTATTTTGAACTAAAGAGGCTTCAGAGTACATAGTTAAGAAAATGATGAGGTTATTATATCTTTATTTAAATGTTTTAGGGGCATCTTGTTAGATCAGATAACAAGCTAAGACCATTTGTACTCACCAGAGCAGCTTTCGCCGGTTCTCAAAAGTAAGTGAACTCTGTTATATAAATATATTTTTAAGACAAAGAAGACTTATAGAATATACAAAACTTGGAGGTTGCTGTTTTTTGAATTATTATTTTTGTTCATGTTGATCAATATCAAAAAAAGAATGAAATATAACGAAAATATATAAATTCATAAAACCAATTTTAGCTTTATTATCAGAAGGTATAAACATTATTTTTTAAGTTTAAAAAATCCTTAGATATGCAGCGATCTGGACTGGAGACAATACAGCTGAATGGGGACATCTTGAAGCATCTGTGCCAATGTGTCTCTCATTTTCTGTCGCTGGGATGGCATTTGTCGGCGCCGACGTCGGAGGATTCTTTGGGAATCCTGATGGGGAACTTATTGTAAGGTAGGATCTTTTTGTCTTATAGGTCAATGTTCGGAACTTTTGAACAGTTAAACGCCCATCACCAATCCCGCACACGATATTCCCTTCAGAAACTTTTAATTTGAAGCGTATGCCTAACCTGTGAAAAATCACGAAACACATTTTTGTGAACTCAAACCCCGAGCTGATTTTTGTGTTTTCTGACGTTTCCTCCATCTATAAAGATATCCCAATGGAATTAACTTAATCCATCTGACCACAAAATATATGGATTTGCGCCTAAGCTTTGTCTCTACTCAACTCGTTTTGCCATCGTCTTTATCAGGACAATTTCCGCCTAATTTGCACCAATATTTTCTCGATGTTCCTAAAAATACATAGATAAAAGACAATGAGATTAATAGATATAATTTATATGTAGATGGTATCAAGCCGCGGCTTTCCAACCGTTCTTGAGAGGTCACGCTCATCTGGATTCTAAGAGAAGGGAACCTTGGCTATTCTCAGCAGGTAGCGTCTTTAAATATAGTGATTGCATTAATATCTGATTATTGACAAGTCAAGAATTTTTTAAACTAATTTTTAGCACTTTTGTTAATTTTTAGTACTTTTGTTAATTTGTTTTTAATTGAGGTATTCTGTATTTCAGATAGTAAATAATCATCTTATTAATACTTAAAGAACTAAAAAAATTTAATTTAGGTGAAATGGCCCTGATTAGAGAAGCACTTCGAACCAGATACTCATTCTTACCGTTTTGGTACACTCAGTTCTATGAAGCTGAAGTCACTGGTGAGTAGTCGCAGATTAGTTTATAATTTCCGAATGAAGTATGGACTTTTTTGTGAGATAAAAAACATGCTTTGAATTTTTTGTCAAGGATATCCATTTAATTCTTCGGCTTTGTAGAATAAAAGACTAATAAGTTTTGCGGGGCCGGGGGTTATAAAAAACATTTATGCATTTTTGTGTAAAATATTTCTAATAAATCGGATTGTTCCTCAGGAGTTCCTGTGATGCGTCCTCTATGGTACGAGTTCCCTCAGGACGAAGGAACGTTTGGACGTGAAGGAATACACATGGTTGGGAACTCACTTCTTGTTGCTCCTGTTCTACACAAATCTGCTACTCAAGGTAGGATATTTTAAAGGGAGTGTTTGCGAAAAATGAAAGAAGGTATAGGCTTACGGCGAAAAATTAGTCCCTTTGATCGCTACTAATCTTATCTGTTGGAGAAAACTGTTAATTATCGAAAAAGAATCGACAACTATTATTTATAATATCTGAATGATTTGTTTGGAATTTGGAATTCTGAATTTGTATAAACGCTACGTTCTTCAGTATAAGTCGTTTTTAACAGTTTTCTCCTTATAGATGCAGCAGATAGAAGTAAGATTAGTAGCGATCAAAAGCGCTTATTTTTCGAACACTCCCTTTAATGGTATTATTTACGACATATTTTTAGATCAGATATTCGCTGTCAAAATGACTCGCATCCTTTCGTCCTATTTTGATATTCTATCTATGTATATACTTTGCTTTCCTGCCTGTGTGTCCGTTTGTATCCAATAAAAGTTAAACCGATTAAACCTGAAAGCCTACGTGCCTTCTTGCAATAATTATAAGATACACCCTGTTTAAGTGAATGTATACTTCCCTGGAAACCAGATCTGGTATGATATTGTGTCCTTCCAAAAGTACGAGGTCAGCGGAGAAATTAGCATTCAGGTAATTTATGTACAGGCTTACTCAGAAACGACGACGTCAGAGACGACTTAAACTTAAATCAGTCTCTTTTTCAATTCATAATCTTCTTTCGGGGGTCTATATTTTTCAGAATTACAGAATGATTTTTGATTATTTGGNATCAAACTTTTATTATGATCAAACTTGGTATTGAAATTTTTAAACCTGATTGAACAAATCCAAAAATAGTTCAGAGTTAGTTTTAAAGGTTTCAGGTTAATTTGAATCTGTAATACCGGGGTTTTAATAAGAAAATTCAATTATAGTTTGAAGGGGGGAGGTGGGGTGGAGAGCAATATTTTTACAGAGACACAAATAAACAATGGGGCAAAATTTTAATATCTAAAATCTGTGACTTTAGCGAACCCCCCACCCCCCCTCCCCGCGAAGGTTCAACCTCAGACATTGGATATAAATACCTCACGGGTACAAGAACATTTATGATTAAAAATTAGATGATATTTTGGTTAAACAATAATAAAAATCTAAGTTTAAAACAAAAGATTGGATAAGGATTTATGTTACTCAGGCTGGATATGAGAAAGTCCCAGTATATCAACGAGGGGGAACTATTATACCTAGGAAACAGAGAATAAGGAGGTGAGGGATTTTTTTTTATCATTCTATTGGGAGAGCGGGGCGGGGTTACGGACATAGTTATTTTACCGTATACCTGTCCTATCTATCTATTTGGACATTTGGCCCCAAGAATATGTATACAGCAATCCACTCCTCTCAACCACCCTTAATACCCTTGACCGAAAATATTCAGATTTGTGGGTTGGGTTAGCATGCATCATTAATTCGATGTGTTGTTGTGCGCAAATTTAAAATTGCGGTTGCCGTAGTTCCCCTGTCCCAGGCCTGTATCTGCAGCCCACCTACGCTAATAAACCGAAATCAAATGTGTAATTTTAAAGAATAATTTGATTTGTCTTTTCAAGGTCGTCTGTTCTGATGCACGAGGATCCAATTACTCTGCATATTGCCCTGGATAAAGAACAGAAGGCAGAGGGAACTTTGTACATTGATGACGGACAATCATTCGAATACAAAGAGGTAGAATAAAGAGGAAATAATGATAACAAACCAGTATTTATTTTTTACTTGTCCACTTCATTTGTAATGTTCAGTTCAGATCTGTAGATTTAAAAGCCTCATTTCCATTTTGTTGAAAACATTCAAGTGGTTCTGACTCCTGAACTTTAGACATTTTGAAATCTTACATCAGGAAAACAAAACTATTTGTTTTAGCCACTAATGAAAAGAGCAAAAATTTAACCCACCAACCTTTTTGATCCATTAGTGATTATTTGTCTTTAACTTGAAATATTACAGGGAAAATTTATCTACGTTACGTTTAAGTACGAGAAAGGAACCCTAGAAGCTAAGCTGAATCAGCCTGCAGGTCAGTTTAATGTTATTGTTTAATCGTAACTGCATCTGTCGATTTTTATCTTTTTTATTTTTTCTCCTCTCCTCTTCTTAGACTTTATGCAATCCTTACTTACGTACTTACTCCCTCTGCTCGATCCATTTATTCTATTCCTTGTTTTCGGATTCCATTTATCTTCCAGTTTTTTATCAAACTTTTTCGGGTGGCTAAGAACTTAATAAAACTAAATGAAATATAAAATAAAAAATTATAAAGAAGTCCTAGCTGAAAAACCAGGATATGGGAAGGGAAGGGTCCAATCCACTACTGGAGTCTTAGCCCATCCCTACAACTGTGATTTGAATTGTATCTAGGTATTGAGACGAAGGTTTGGTTGGAGAAGGTTGTGATTCTAGGGAGTGGACCGGCCAATAACCCAGCCAAGGTTACTGACAAGGTGGGTTCGAAACATACTTATGTAAAACCGTACAAAGTACTGTACAGAAAACTGTGTACAATAACTGTACGTACTTAAGAAGATATCCGATATTAAGAAGTTACTAATTACGCAATCAATCCAAAAAAGATTTCTAGTCAAAAATCATGAATAGACAATTTTTTATTAACCCTTAAAAAATTGATAATGGAAAAAAATTATCCTAATAAATAATTTTTTTACGCTTACTTCCTTATCGACTTATTTGATCTATTTCGTTATTTTTCTGTCTCACTTTATTTTTTTGAAGGTATCTTTGGTTTGATCTCATATTAAACGGATAAAATACGTCACCAGTTTTCATAAAATACTCCCTACCAAACCCTTAGTTTCACTGAAAATAATGGGTAGATTTATCAATTAGCGTGCGTCTGAACTAATTATTGATTAATTGATTTCAGACTGGTGAGAAGTATGTTGACACTTTGTATAATTCCTCCACTGGAGCACTAATCATCAGGTTAGTAATAAGATAGCAAATCTGTGGTGTTTCTGTACAACCGTACTATTGCTGGATAATTATCAACATCTCAGTCAAAGTTGTTCCAAAGACTACATTTCCTCTTCTATAACTTTGTGCATTGCAGTATTTACAAATAAAAATTCCTCCCACTAGAAACAAACAAATCTCGGGCTTTATGTTTTGTAACAAACTGCAGTACAACGCTGTTTTTGAAAACTATGCAGTACACCGCGTTTTTGAAACTCGTTAACTATTTTTTTAAACAGTTCATTCAAAGATTGGACTGAAAACTCGGATTGTAGGAAGGAATTTAAACTCTGACCCTTATCAAACAATCCCTGTAAAATATAATTTGATTTGATTGGTGTAATTTGCGACTAAACATAACAGATCAGAAACAGATTTTAATCGTATGCAAATGTATTGTAACTAGGCTTTTAGGGCGCTTCGCGCCCATCTTCTATTTAAATTGTGAACATGTTCTTTTTGTTTACATTTTAAAACAAAGAAGAAAATTTTGCGGATTTTTAAAAATAAATTCGCGGATTTTCAAGAATGGATTTTTTTTTACAAAATTAAAAACCTTTAGAACACATTTTTAAATTTTTTTTATCATTCATAAACCTTCCGTGTGGTCACGTGATGTCCCACAAAAAATTTGGGCCCGATCGGTTCAGCCGTTTTGACGTTTATTGGATACAAACAAACAGACAAGTCAAATTTATATATAGATAGTCATCGATGTCATGATTTGATTTGAACGGCAAGGTTTCTGCGTGATGGCATCAACCAGTGAATTTAGAAATCAGAAAAATAGGGGAAAATACTAGTTATAAATATTGAATGAATAATATTGTATATAATTGCATATGATAAATAGATATAAGCCGAATTTACAAATGAATGAATGAATATTGTGTTTCAGGAAACCTGGAGTAAATCTAGGATCTGGGTTTACCATCAGTCTCAACTAAGGCACAACAAACAGGCGCACCTGTCTTTAGGAATAGTTCCATTAACACATAGTTAAAAATAAAAAACCGGTAACAACAATAAAAATATATTCTAAAATTAATATTAGTTCGGGAATCAAATTTAATGAATACAGAGATGTATTTGAATCACGGACCGCCGGCTAAACTAGTTATCTTTTGTGCCGGGTCAAGCTGGAAAAAGAAGTTGTTCAATAACGCTACTAACTTCAACTACTTCTATTTATCAAATCTTCTAGGTGAAGCATTAATAACAGTAAATATTAAAAAACAGATTTAATGCGGTTAGCTTGGAAGTAGGGTGGAAAATCTAAATATCTAATTCAAATGTAAATAAATGATGAAGATTGGGCTAAAACTTCAGATGGTGGGATTAAGGATCAGGATTCTGAAATAGGAAATACTACTACAGTTGATCCACTCAAGCTTACCCCTTTACTCTAATTAAGATGTATATTTTCTGAAACAATATTTCATAGCTAAGTGAATCCCATTTTTTAGAAATAAAAAACCTTAATTTTAAAAATCTAGAAAATGAGGTTAAAATAATGCTTATACAAAAATGGTTTAAGTAAATATTTGATGGAAATTATCTATTGTAGAAGGTTCTTGTAGCAAGAACTAAACAATCCTGCATCTGTTATATATCCATTGTTTGCATTTATCTGTTTAACACAGACAAGCTGACAAATCTTCAAACCAGAGATTTCTGCTTCAGCTGCTGTTCACAGCTGTTTAGAACGTTTTTAAAGAGCAGGAACAGGACAGGTCGTCTTAGACACTGAATTATGTGAATAATTTTCAAATCTGTGATTTTAGTCCGTGTGTGATCTTAATGTTTATTTTCAATGCTGTGCATTAAAGCGCATCAGTGCAACAAATAAGTCAAATTGTAGGAATCTTCACCATTTTAAATAATGTTTTTTTTTCTGTTTTGTTATTATTGGAAGTTCTATTGGTTTATAAAAAAATACTGTTTTCGGTTGATCATGCTCAGTACTCACCTTTTTTTAAATTGTTTACATAAAATATTTAATTAAATTGTTTAATTATAGAATTTTTTTGTAAAGGTTAAGCAACTATTAAAAGGCTAGATAATTAGAAACATGAATTAAGTAATAAGTATACTATGTGATAATACCAACCCCCTTATTGTGCATTATTTAATTATATAGTTGAAACTACATTTTTATATTTTAATCTTTTTTTAACGTCCATAATTTTGGGCTTTAAAGTGGCCTACTTCAATCCGATCATGATATTCTTCGGTTTCCATTATTTCAAGCAAACTATTTGCTTCTTACATATTTGAAATCAATTTCGAGGTATATTTTCTACCCTGTATCTACCCTTAATAAAGCAAATTATTTAATTATTGGGGAAAAAATCGTTTTTAAATGCCGAAATACCCATAAATTTTCCCAAGTCAAAGTCCATTTTTTTAAAAACCTCTATCACATTCTTTGCAGTACACTCAAGGAAATTTCTCTTTATGCTTATTTTTAAAAATTGATAATCACTCCTCAGGCTCATGAGAGGAAACATGCACAACTTTCTACTGAATAGGACCGTACATTTTGTAAAGCACAGCCTGGTGATTCTTTTTTCTTTCAGATTTTATAAAATGGTGGGCAGGAAGCGAAAGAGATGGGACCTATCTGAAACTTCATTTGGGTGAGTAGATGTTTGTTTGCATGTTTCTTCTTATTAAAGGAACGTGATTTATAATGGTCCTCTGCTTGTAGATTCGCATATCACAGTACCCTAATCGTGCAGATCATTCAAAGTCATTGCAAATGGTAAAGTCTAAATCCATTAAGATTTAATATATTCTCTTCGAAATGGTATTGAGTAAGTAGGACGTCCCTAAAAGTTAGATTTTATTTTATTTGACCCTTCAAACTTTTGACTTAAAGTGTGTTGGAGATACCCATATTTTTAGTATAAAAATTCAGTGCTTTTAAAAACCATTTTACGACATTCGCTCGGAGTGTACAGTGCATACTTCCATGTTTCCCGGCACTTAATCTTAAGTTGTAAATAAAATAAACAGTTGTAAATGTAAGGATATATCTGTCGTCATTGATCAGGCATAGTGTTAAATGGTACTGATATGAAGCGTACATGCCACTGTACAAAATAGTTCATTCAATGATTAGCGAATTTTTTATGCAGCTTAGTTAGTCATGGATTTGTACCTATTATTGTGAATCATTATCAGACTATTAGTAAAGTTTTTGATAGACGTTGAATTAAATCATTAAGACTTCAATACTTAACAATATTTTAAGAATAGTTATTTCTTGTAAAATTGCGAACTACATGGACATCCAAATTTTTTTTCTTTTTTTTGCAAAATTAGCTCAGTATGATTGAAAGATGAAAATTATTAGAGTTAAAAAAAATTCAATCTTTTACCCTTTAATTTTGTATTCTTTTAGACAACTAGTTTTCTTATCAGAAGAAGATAAAAATGATTAAAGTTTAAATATTTCTCATTGCTGACAATCATGGTGTATAGTAAGCTTCTTTTAGTTCTAGCTTTCTCAATAGCATCCACTGTTTCCAGCAATTTATTCCATCTTAGTTCTGGGACTGATGAAAACATATTGATTTCTGGATATAATTCAGAGATTGCGATTTATTCCTTAAATAACAATCTTCTGACAAGAAAGGGGTCCTGGATAGTTAATGCAAACCTTACATGGATACAACAAACTGGAGGATCTTTCTGGGCAATTCATGAAACATCTTCATTCATGGGGGTGCCTGGTGGAGCCGTCAGTCGTTGGGAGATCATGGATAACAAGCTTGTGATGCAAGAGTACCTAAGTTTGTTGAGTATAGGTCCTGCCCATCTACTTGTTGATCTGGAGAATAATCTTGCATTCACTGCAAACTATGGCGGGGGTTCTGTTACCGTTATATCTATTACTGATGGTAAGCTGGACAAGGTTACTCAGCTGCTTAAGTTCGGACCAGGATGTAGAGATCAGTCTCATCCTCATGAAGTTATTCGGAGAGGAGGTCTTGTCTGGGTGACAGATTTAGGATGCGATCGTATTTATCATTTCAAGATCGATGGTGACCAGTTGCATAAGTTAGGTGAGACTGTAGTAGAGAACGGTGCAGGACCAAGGCATATGATTCTTCATGAAACAGAAAATTTAGCTTTCTTAGTTTGGGAATTGAAGAATGGAATTGAAGTTTACAATGTGAACTATTTAACTGGAGACTTGGTGTTAAAACAGCAGCTGAAGCTATCTTCCAACGATAAAGATGCTGGCGCTGAAGTACTTCTATCTGAAGATGGTGAAACCTTGTATGTTAGCAGCAGAGGAACTGGTATAATTGCAGTCTTTAAGCAGAATGGGAAGGAATATGAAAAAGTCCAAGAGCTTAAGCTTGGCGGGACATGGCCTAGATCTGTTGCTATAAAGAGTGATACTCTGCTGATGGCAGATCAGGTTGGAAACAACACTCAAGTGATTTCTATTAATGAAGATGGAATGCTTAAAGCTGGACAGATTCTTCCCACTCCCCCAAGCCCTGCTTTTGTTATGTTCTTAAATCCATGATTTTTTGGACTTCATTATTTGATTTATTTTAGATGAATTTTTGCTGTACAAAAATAATAATTTAAATTTTATCTCATTGTCAAAAATAAATTTGTGAATTATTTTTTAGTTGTAAACTATTTGGTTATTTTTATACTTATTGACCTGTGTTCCACTTTAGTTACCCTTTTTTATTGATTATTCTTTGGAGATATCATAACGGCCTTTACCACTTGCCTCATCCCTATAGAAGGTCAATGTCATTAGTCGATTTTGAATCAAGCGAATGGAAAGATATCGGAACTAGAAATAATTAAAGATATTTGATTTTTTTTTTTTTATTAACTAAGTTAGAAGTTATCTTCCATACTGACAATGGATTGGGCAACTGGGAATTATTCATTTAATAAATGAAAAAATAAAAAGATCAAATGTGCTACTCAATTTGAAGAGCAATAGGTCAGAATTTGTATTGTTAAAGGGACTGACCGGTAATGTACGGTATGCAGTGTTGTGGACAAATTCTTTTGGATTCATTTGAGACATATAAAACATTTCCACGATGTATAAGTACTGAGTTTGAGCGCAAAGTCGACGTTCTAAATCATGAATTTGGATGGGAACGTTTTAAAAATTCTAAAGTAAACTAATCAGATGTTCAGGAACATGTTTCTCAAAAGAAATTTGTCAATAAATCGAAGTTAGAATTAATTATTTCCTTTTTCATAATTATATTGAATTTCTTGCTTACTATGAATTTGTTCGTAGATTTCTTCAAATTCTTCGAATGTCGTCTTTTTAAAAAATTCCAGAAAATCTGCAGAAAATCTTAGGATTAAAGAGAGAAAATTTAGGATTAAAGAGAGAAAATAGGTATTAGTATTTAAATAAGATTACTTATTTTAGATGATAAGAGTTAATTTTTTTTCAACCTGTTCCTAAACAACTAATTATTTTTTCTGAAGAATTTGTTCACATTTTTTGTCGTCGTTATTCAATAATTAAAAAACATTTTTAAAAACGTATCCACCCAAAAGTAAAATTTTGAACGTCGACTTTTATATGTCTCGAATGAATCTTAAAGAATTTGTCCACAGCACTGCATACTCAGTTCAACTACCTTACAATACATAGCCGGTCTGTCCCTTCAAATAGTAATATTATTCTAGTATGGAAGAAAGTAGACCTACTGGATTTAGAATCATGAATATAGAACTTCTACAGGATGCTTTAGGTAGGATCACCATTCTATCAATTTTAGGAAGACTCGTAAGATATGTAAGTTTATATTGGAAGAATTCGCATGTGTTTTCTAGTTTAGTAACTTTAATCTATTTAACAACCTCAACATATCTCAAACATACCAACATTGTTAGTTTGTTGGGCAACCACCGGTGGTACCTACTTGGCCCTCTAGATTGTGTGGGGTGCTGTCTGCTGTCTAGAGGCCGTGTGGAACGGAAGGGGGAATAGATCCTCTAGTCTCTTTGGCAATCTGTTGATTCCATTTCGGGGGTCTTTTCATATGTTCCTTCTTATTCTTATAAAGGGACTGTCATTGCAATATAAAGTGACCTATCTAAAAGAGGGGCATGCCCAATTCACAATGGTAATACCCTTACCTTTATCTGATCAAGAATGTGAGAGATGTCTTCGTTATTCAAGCTGGATAAGTAAATGATTCTAATCATTTTTTCCAAATTGACTGAACCAGAAATACGCAAGTAATTTTACAGAAAAATTACCACTTTTTTAAAGAGAAATCATTCATTCATGATCAGGCAAAGCTTTAAAGTGTCCTTTGGGTGCTGCCGTATCACTTTAAATGAAGGGACTCTTGAAATTACGCCTACAGTCCCTTTATAAGTTAATGTTTGCTTGTTATTTTGTTAGAAATTACTTCACATTAGAATGTGCGTGGTTTAAGTTGCATAATGTTTAGATGAAGCGCAGGGGTGTGGACACAATAAACTAGTTCTAGTTGATCTTCTGAATACTGTAGACAAGCTTGCATCAGCATATCAGTTCATCTGTCAGGTTTAAATACTTTTAAAGGATGGGTTGCGATTTAGATAAATGGTTCATTTCGACTGTTTGGTCTGTGTTGCTTGGTTTAGCTGTAAAATAGGATCAAACACATTGTTATTACTTCTTTTTAATTTTCACCGTACCTAAATGTTAAAAGTACAAGAATAAAGAGATCAAATATATTAGATTATTTTTTATTAAATTTAATTGTGCAGGTCTGCTCCTCAACAGTGGATTTCTTCAACTCTCCTCCTTCAACCAAAGGTAAATGGTCATTCCTGTCTCAACAAATGTGAACCTAAGTAAATTATATATTTCCAATTTTTAGGATACAGACTAAATGAAGATTTGGAGAAAATTTGCCCCGGCACATCTTTAAAATCTTTCGGTAAAAAAACTTCTTTTTTTCTTGAATTATTTATTCTGACCTGAGTCTAAAACTAAAGAACGAAAAGTTCTGACTTAAATTTTAAGTTCATGGTTAAATGTCACTACTGACTTAATTTAAACCTGAACTTTAACCATGAGGTTAAACATTTAACCCTGTCGCCGAAATCGACGAGTTAAAATTTAAACAGAGGTTTAAATTATCTTGAAATCCTGCATTTTCCCTATTTGTCTATTATTCAATCATCATTCAGCTGCAACTGAGAAAGCGGCATTCAACTTTACGATTTAGTTAAAAGTGAAAACCTTGTTAAATTAATTTTTGGATGTAAACCCAAAAAACGGTTGTATGTTTTGTTTTCGGTTACGTAAGAACAGCTGATTAGCGATGGTTATGTAATATTCTCCGTAAATCCTTTTCTCTGATTGGTTAAGATTTTTCCCGGGAAATTCAAATAATTTAAAATTGAGAAAGTTTAATATTTAAGTCGCTATTCATTATTTTACAGAACTTTTAACCTCGAACTTAAAATTCGCGCATTCTTTAGTTTTAGACTCTGGTCAAGTTAAAAACCAGTTAGTTAATGAGAGAATTATGTGTCCTTTTAACTCAACATTTTTTAGTTTCTTTCTTCGATGACCAGAGAAGAGTCAAAGAAGAGATGGCAACAATCAACCCCGATCCTTCTAATCCTCAAACAGGGTACGTATTTTTTTAGAACTTTCTACGTAGCCATTAAAAGATATATTTCATGCTTTTTTATAAAGAATTTTCTCTTTGCACTTTGTAAAACAACACAGAAAATATATTTTCAAATTTTCTTATTTTCGGGGATTAATTTTTAGCAATTCTGGAGAAAAAACACGTTTTATAGTATACCCCTTTCTAGGGTGGATTATGATGAAGTTTTTGTGAAGATGGAACCTGAGGAGGATTCAAAGGAGATCTTAGATTTCCATAATTTCCAAACTTACTTCATCAAGGTACGTTGGTAGATCGTCTGTTTCAGAAAAAGAGTTTTTTTAAATGTTGATTTTAGGAAGAGTTGATTGAATCTGGAACAAACCCAGAGACGGCTAGTCTAATACAGGTCAGAATTTATCTAATTGATCAAAACTAGTATTAAATAATATTCTTTTTTTTTTTCAGATTATTTTCTTTTCTCCCTTTAAACTAATCAACATTTTGTTGTTAGTTCAACTCAGAGCTGTGATAAACATTTAATTCTTTCTTAAAGTCAACCTAACCTACAAACTTCAATTGTCTAACCTTATGTCTATGCAACCTGATGCTGTATACCTGTGATATTTTTAACAATGTATTTTGTTAGCTAAAACAGTTTGAAAACACAGGATCACACGGGCCATTAGGTTGTTAAGATTTAGAAAATAGAGTTTGTAGAGAATGTTCAGGGAGGGAGGGAGTCCAGAGTTCCTCAAATAGTAATCACCGCCACCCAAATCTGTTTCGGGGCAAGCGCGCTCCTCAATTGGTAATCTCCACCAGCTCAAATAGTAATCACCGTAAAATTTTGTTTTATGTGATTTGAATTTAATGCACTTTTAACACAATTTTCGACATCTATCCGGGTTTTATGGCATCTGTATTGACTTAAACTGAATTTTCAAATTATTTTCAGATTTTTTTGGTCAACAAAAACTGAAAATCAAGGCACAGTTCATTTTAGCCGAATCTTAGATCCAATTGGCCACTTTAATGACTGCATTTCATGATTGGCGTCAAGATACAAAAAAGGTCGGGCTGCCTGTTTACTAAAAATTATCTCATCGCGCACAAAGTAATATCCATCTCCATTTAAAGGATATTTTCAAAAAACCTTTACAGTGTTTAGATTTTTGTATTCGCCAACTCGAGTTCAACATCTACAACAAAACTAATTATATGCATAGAAAGTACTTAAAATTTACTAAAAATTATCTCATCCCACCCAAAGTAATATCTATCTCCATTTAAAAGATATTTTCAAAAAACCTTTACAGTTTTTAGATTTTTGTATTCGCCTACTTGAGTTCAACATCTACAACAAAACTAATTATATGCATAGAAAGAACATAAAATTTTGAAAAATTAGTCTCATCACACCCACTACTGAAAATGAAGTATTTAGTCCACTAATAATGGGTTAAAGTTTCCTCTCTATATAAGGAGTTTAAAACAACATTCAGAGGAAAATGACGCAAACATTCTTAAAGCGAAAGTTGAAACTAATAAACGTAATATATTTCTAGCACTTAGTGTGGCATATTTATTGATTTATTTTCGAAACTAATGAGCAATAAAGAAAGCTTTAATAATATTGTACAGCTTAGGGCTATTAAAATAGGTCAATATGGTCTTATTTCTAAGAAATAAACGATTTAATTTTATGCTTTTTTGGGGTGATTACTATTTGAGGTGGTGGAGATTACCAATTGAGGAGCGCGCTTGCCGCAAAACAGATTTGGGTGGCGGTGATTACTATTTGAGGAACTCTGGACTCCCTCCCTCGTTCAGGTCCTCTTTCCAAATGAAACTTTTTTCGATTATATAATTATTTAAAAAGGATGTTTTTTCAAGTTTTAGTATTTGTTCCAAAACTAATACTTTGCCTATTTCTAACATTGAGTTTTCATTTTGAAACAATTACCGCATTTCAGCTCATGTCGCGTTTTTGGAACATATCCTGGTTTTAAGACGATTACTCGAATTCATATCAATGTCAATTTTTAAGCATTCATTCACGGCCACGCACTTACGAAACTAAACAAGATTTTTTGATAAGGTAAAATATAAACAAAATAAAAAAAAACATTTTGTTCCAGTGCTTAGGATCAGGATCCGCTGGATCCGCAAAAACATACGGATCCACGAAACCGGATCCAAGGGGCAAAATATCAACCCAAAACTGCAAAATAAAAACGCTTTTACTCTCAAAACCCAAATCTAAACTATTGAAAAGAGAGAAATTATAAAAGTTTCTGATTTCTGAATGGTTCATCAAGTTTAGGCATAAAAAGCGAAAAAGATATGACAAAAAACTTGGAAATTTTGCTTTGTTTGAATATTCAGTAAATCTGAAAAAATGACCTAGATCCAGATCCTTTTTATCTTTTTTTACTTTTTTTTACTAGAACTGAGGAAAATTGAGTGTTTAGATAGCAGGATATTAAACTTTTTCTCTTTTTTTCTTTTGAATTGCGGATTATACTCAAAAACGGGAAAGTGGGTTTTGTCTCGAAAACGAACAATGATTCAAATTCGGGATATGTTCGAAAATGGAAAACCTGACATTGTCTTGAAAACTTTAATGTATTTTTATAATTTTGATTTCAGGAATAAGTTTAAAATTGGAAATTGTTGTTCTCGTGTTGCTTAATAAAATATTGGTTTTAGTTTTTACAACGACATATATTCTCAATATGGGCCGGGATCCTAAAAACCCATTCGTTCAATTTGTGCCTTTGGAACTAATGTCCTGTGTATTTAGAATTTTTTTGTAAATTGTAATAATTCTGGTCTGTAACTTAATTTTCATATTTGACGGATTAATGGCGCTTATTTCAGTTTGATAACTTGAATTGGATTCCTGTAATGGGAGGGATGGTCACATTATTGAATCCTGGTATACCTTTAACCTGTAATCCTGCTCAATTTATAAAAACTACCTCCTCAAAGTACAAAATACCTCCTGGAGTTTACAAATATGTAAGGTACCAACCTTTAATTAACATATTATTTCTATTAAAAAGCTAAATTTGACTCTCCCTAATTAAAATATAGACTTTTTATTTATCTTATCGACGATTTTTTACAATATTAAAATTTATTTAGGAAAAATGGTCTTGAGTCTGTGCTACTTGTAAAAGACGACGACGGAAACTACGACGACCTTCTCAAATTTTTCATTACTGTAGACAAGTTCGACTTGAAAGGAATAACTTTTTTATTCCAAATATTTTGTCCGCCACAGTTGTAAAGAGATTTTTCAATGTAAATCTGTTCTCACTTTAAGGTAGTTTTAGCATAAGATCCAAAGGGATATATACCATTTTCATATTTACTTACTTGTATATTTGGAAAATAGTTGGTGTTGCTAGGGACATTTAGCAACATCTTTTCCCTTTAGTCTTCTGGGAATCTCGTTATTCTCTCAGAGCCCGCGACTTTAAGACCCAACTCTGACGACAGCTTGTGTCACGTAATTGACAGCTGCAAGATCTTCGGCTCGACTTAAGGAGTTAAGACCAATGAAAATAAAACCGACCTTGGTTGTTTTTAGTGGAGAATAAGGCTCAAGGTTGAGTCTTGTTCTCAAAAGAACCCGGAATGCGCCAATTCTGTGCTCATTTTTACCTATAGGAGACCAGGTAATAACTACAAACATAAGAGCGAGCATGAACTCTTTCTCTTCGGCTCACCTCTATTTGCACTGATTAAATCTTATGTATATATTTCAGGTAGGCAGTTTATACAGGACTCAACCGTGAACTGAAAACACAATAAATCAGTCCAGGGTTAATTATATGCATGACAATAATAAAATTTTAGCCTTTAAAATAAAACTTTCTCCAGGTTAACTATTCAATTATTTATATAATGAGAAAATAAACTTACAATGTTGATTTGTCCAGAGGTTTGTAGCCTATAGTTCATTAAATTGCACCGCAGTCGAGAACAGGATAACTAAAAATGAGCTTATTTAGTCCGATCAAAGTTTTCATGTGTCACTTCAAATATCCTTTTTTAAGTGGTGACTTTCTCACATTCATCACAAGCATCGTGATTTTTAGATTTATTACCTGTATTTGATCTAGAGGAGGAGCTAGACCAGGGATACAGAATCAGAGCCCTTCCGTGGAGGTATCGGAGGGGAGCAACAATGTTTCTCGTCGGAGAAACCAGAGTAGAGGAGACAACTAAGCCAAAGTTGTGCAGGTCTGGTACGTAGAGGTATATAGGTCTCTAGAGTACCAGAAGGATATTCTGGAGCACGAGCTGAGGATCCAGAGGACAAGGATGACTCAGCTTCCGGTGATGTCGGAGTCTTGACAACGGAGGTCTTTATATAGACTTCCTTAGACTCAGGATGTCAAAATTAGTAGGTGGGAGTAGAAGAGAAATGATCCAACTCAGATTAGAAGAGAACGGAACCATCTCAGGAGTCAAACACGCAGGGGAGATATCTGCATGTTGAAGATCAGTAGAATTTCTCCGCGAGTCAGCGGAGCAAGTTGAAGTTATATATCAACAGGACTCGTGCCAGCCTAGCATGAGAATTACGTTGAGAGATTTGTGAGAAGTCAGGATATTACTTAAGCTCATTTTAGATATTTGCAATTTTTCACCTGGTTTAAAGCACGGATACGAGCCCGGAACTATTTAGAGGAATCACAACAATCACAATTATCTACATATATCTTATAAACCATCCGTAGGAATAAAATTTTTCAACGTTGTGTAAGGAACATTCAACGTTTATTAGCCTTAAGTATTTATTACGGATGATTTATAGACCTGGAGAAAGAAACACAATTTCAGGTTAGAAGGGGGCAACTAACCCATTGTGTTCTGAAAGATAAAACTCATTATTTACAGTTTTTTGAGGCTTTAGACTAGGCTTTAATTAGGCTTTGGCGAGACAGTATATAGGTTTTGGCTAAATATTATATATATATATGTTAAATCATAAAACATTTTAACCATAAAACTCAGGTTCTGCATTATAAAATAAAATCAGGTTATTCATTATAAAAATTGGCCTTTAGATAGTTATATATTAAAAATCTCAATTAATTATTGAATTGAACACGTGATTGATTAGTAAAAATTTGTCCATGTAGAGTTCTGTGTGATTGATCGAATGTTTGTAGAGAATTCCTGGTTGAACACACTGAGTAACGTCTTGTCGCTGAACACCCTGAACACACATTAGTTTATAAGGATCCTCAGATCTTACAAATTCCTACCTTGAAAATCCACCAAATAGAATATTAAACCAGTTTTTTTTTAACTCAACTCTGTTGAAAATAAGATGCAGCTTGAACCCGAAAGCTCAAGCCGTAAATAAGGCCCATCGACAGCTTTGACCCGAGCCGTATTTTACCGAATTTATTAAATCACGGGCTCAGGATTCGGTGACCAATATAATAGATGGTTTTAGGTCATTACTAACAACTTGAAGTTCATTTAGTTTACTAATTATACCTTGGGCATTTAGATAGAGAATACTTAGTGTCTCCCGTTCTTAGTAGGGTTCTGCTCCTCCATTCTCATTGTATCCTCCTCCCCCTCCTCCCTCCCCCTTCTCTCTCTGGATCCTGTCTCTGGTTATCCGATTGGTGTTCCCGAGAGTATTCTATCTCATTTCGTTTCTCCCCGGCGGTTCTTGATTGGTGCTTGTTTTGACCTTTATAGCTCTTTTTCAGCCTCATGGTCCGACCGCCTACCACATGAAGTTAAGGTACTCTCCAACTCGCTCCACATTTTTTGTATTGCAAAGTACTCTCACATCCTCGTCCTCTTGTCTCTGCTGTTTAGTTAAATCTGGTATGATGATAACATCTTTGAATTTAGTATCTGCCAGTTTCCTTGAGCTCTTGAGAGTTATAGTTCTAAATACAGGGTTTTCAAGACCAACTATTAGGGGTCTACTGCTATTTTTAACCATCACCATCACCCACTCTTCTCAGAAATTTGATATCAATCTCAGTGTCTATTTCAATATTAATAGAGAGTAGAACTTTCTTATATGAAGCATTATCAGCTTTTTTTCTATCATATCCATTCTTCATTTCATGGCCTAGGTTCAACTAGGTTGTGAACTATCAGGTTCTCCTTCCTTTTTTCTCTATCACAAAGTTCAGCACAGACTTACGTTTGAAAGTCAGCTGATGACTCAAGGTTTAACTGTTTAACATTTTCATTTTTTTGTCCAGATTCTTAAAGAATAAGTTAAAGTAAGTGGATTCCCACTGAAATCTGGGAGCCGAGTATCGAAAGAGAAGAAAGAGTTTAACGCCTGGCGACGGCAGGTGGTTAACTGGAGAACTACTCTCAAGAATACAGGACTTATTCCGTGTGAGAAGTGTACTCTAGGTTAGGATTCTAAAATATCATTTTTCAAAATTTATAAGAAATCTGTTAACGACAAAAAGTAAATTATGAACGAAACGGAAAACAAGCTAGCTAGGATTTCAAAGTGAGAAATAGCACTATTCAATCTTTTTTAATTCTGGCGTACATATTTTCAATAAAATGTTTAAATATAAATAAGAAAATGTGTAAATATATATAAGAAAATGTATAAATATATAAAGATTAAAATTGTGCTAATGGCACTATATTTATAGATAAAAATGCTTAACCCTTAAACTCCATTCATTAATCAATCCCTGGTTAGGCGGGTCTAAACTATTAGTTTTCATTATTTTATTTATTTTAAAATGGTATATAAAATTTTCTGTTATTTTCAGGATTCTCTACATTAATCGGAATAGAAAGCCATTACTTGCTGTGTACTGGGGAGATAATGGATAATTCGGAATATGCAGATTGTCATCTGTGTCAGGTAAGAAACTTTTTAAATTTTAAAAAGGAATTTTTTTTTCACTTTGTTATCAGGGCTTTATAATAAATTCTTTTTTAGAATTCTCTCTCGCCCCTTTTCTTGTGGGGAGGGGCCGGTTAGTTATCCAGCTAGGAAGGTTTTATATCGAACATATTCCTCAAGATTAATATTTTCATTCTTCAACGTTTCTTGCGATAATTCCATGTTATTCTTACTATACTTGGGACCGGTGGATAAATGAATTTTTCAGAAAATACAAGGTTACCCACAAAGGATGAGAATTTAGAGACGACTGTACGGAACTTATTGTACACTTTTTCAATTTATTTATTGTCCCCTTCATCATCTGTAAAATTGTTTTGTTCTGTGCCAAACCATTAAATAAGCCATTCAAGGCAGTAGAATTAATTCAACATTGGAATAATAATATTTAACACGTTTAGGTTTAAAGTCGCATCTTCTGTAGGTAACCCTATATATCAATCATTGAGTAAAATACAATATTTCCGTAGTAACAATATTTGTCTAGGCGAGGTGTACTCAGTCCGATCTTGAAGGTCACATGATCAAGTGCTTATCTAACCGTAGTCATTTCACCTCATCTGAGAACAGGAAAAGAATTGAACAGAAATGAAGAGAATTGATCGGAATTGAACGGAATTGAATGAAATTGAACGGAATTGAACGGAATTGAATACCCCACCCTCTTATGATTCACATTTTACACGCAAATGTGTTGAAAATGCTCTAAGACCTTTAGCTTTTTTGCAGTCAAATATTTTGCGCCACACCTCATCATTCTACGAGCGTGGAATGGATACAAAACCAAACTTTTAAAGTTATTATTAGTTCATATTTTAAAGCTTTTCAATCTTTCACCTTAGTTCTTCTTCTGGGAGTGCTAAGGCAGGTATTATTACTCTATTTCATATTTATTTTTTATTTTTAATATAGATATAGATATTTTGATAAATATAGATAATTATCATGATAACTGTATTTTAGGGAATTCTAAAAGAAAATTAGAGACTGGTAATAAAGTGTTTAAAGTGGAACAGCCAATCAAAAGGGAAAATATATTCTTTACAATATATTGAATATTTGAAAATTGGATTAATTATATTTTTGACAATATCGTTGATTCTACAGTGTACGGCGTTGAAAACAAGGCAATCAGTGTTTCGGATCCGTATCATTTTGATGCGGATCCGGATCCTGACTCTGATACGGATCCGGATCCGGATCCGAGGTAACTTTTGATTCCGTGAATCGGATTTTCCCTATTAAATTTTATGCAAGGTTATAATTTATAAACTATAGTAATCCTAAAGTTAAAAATGTCGTCATTACTATTATATAAATGTAAACATTAAATTATTAAAGATAATTTTGAAAAATTTTCGTCATGTAAATAATACATTTACGAACCATTTTGGTTTATTTATTCTATGGTTTTGGTTAATTTTTGGCGCTACCCGGATCCATATCAACGTTTCCTGATACGGATCCGGATCCGACCAAATGATCCGGATCCGACCGGATCCGGAACGCTGAAGGCAATAATGACGACTTTTCTAACCAAGTTTTGATTTTAAATAAGCTTTTGTCAAATTGTAAGTTGATGAATAAACTGAGAAAAGGTGAAAATTGAAGCTTCTTCTTGTGTTAAAGTTTATGTGTATCCATGCTGTTTAAAAGCTTGGTAGAAGTCAATCCTACTTTCTTAATAGAGGATGGGGTTATTAATCGAAACTAAGCAATGTTAACAGACTATTAAAGAAAATTTTCCTTCATCTAGAAAGAAACCCTCAAAGGCCCTGGCTAAGGAATATTCATTTTTGATTAAATAATAAATACATGAAATAGATTTACAATAAGAATATTGGCATCATTTATCAAAAATGAATTTATTGAAAATGGTAAAATAAAATGGATTTCCTAAGGCTGCTTGTTCCAGGCGCACTCCTCTCAGCATATTTTCAATTATTTATACAGAGAGGTAAACAATGCAATTTTTTAGTTTTATTAAGGGATTGTTAACGGAATTAAGTAACTTTTTATCTATTAACAATTCATAATAATGCGAGTTAAGAATTAATTTTGATTAAAGTGATTTAGAACTCGTTATTTGTCGATCTAGATTTTAGAAAATATCCTCAAATCTTCAAAATCTCTGGTGAGAGTTGAAAAGTAAAGATCCCATTTTAAAGTGCTGCTCCTGAAAACCATGTCTCTGAGTAAAAACCAGAAAGACTAATACCGATTCTTGCTAAAGCTCGTATCTTCGTTCAGTCTTTTCTCTGGTGTGATTAGACAGTAAACAGGTTTTTACTCAGGGTTAAGCAAAGCATGTCCAATCTCAGCTCTGGTGACGTTATTTATAAAATATTGTATCATGGTTCCAGATTTAAGAGTTTCAGTGCTGTAATTCGTTGATGGCACTTATACGTTGACGATCCTGATTTTACTTTGATTGCTAACTGATAAATCTTGTATTGTATGCAGGTTAAAGAACCAGGGTATAGTTGGACCTAATATCAGCAGTATTGTATTAGATACCTGGATTAAGATGCTGGATACAGAGAAGGTTAGGATTACATAGATATTCATTATCAACTCAGAAATCTGTAGTTTCCTTATCATCTTGAATCCATGTTTATACAGGATTAACCACAAAGGATGAGACTTCAGAGACGGCCATACTGAAATTTATGGAGTGTTCCTTCCTACAGTCATAATTACATGCATCTTTATTCTGTATTCTTGTTGATGTCTATGCTCTTTTATTTTGATTACACCATTAGAACACTGCATTTAAGTCAGAATACTAAGTTCATCCGCTGATCGTTTTGAGAACCATAGGACGTTATTGAAGTCTCCTTCTTTGTTTAAAACTTTTTTATTTGTTATCCACACCAAATTTAAATTATAAATTCATTTAAAATGTTTTGTAAATAATTGTTATAATTTGAAAATTGTACTCTACATGTTCAGGATGTATTTAGAAGAGGGCAAACTGATCATGATCTACATCAGGTAAAAACATTTATCTATTGTTAGGATGAATACTAGAACCAACCATATCAAAATTTATCCATTTCTGTTTTAAAAACCTAAAATCCTATTTTAAAATTAAATTTAAGATCCGAAGTTATTCGATATTACTTTAATGTGGGTCCGTGTGTTCATGAAGTATGCTAAAAAAAAATACACTTTTATCTCATATGAGCTGTCTGGATCATCTCCTACTTCAGTGCTCCATTGCTTGTGTTCATGAAGTATGCTAAAAAAAATAAACTTTTATCTTCTCTAAGCTGTTTGGATCATCTCCTACGACAGTGCTCCATTGCTATAGCTTTTAAGTTTAGTTTCAATCGATTTTGACATGTTTCATTTTCCAAAAACTTAAACAATTTAAAGTGTTAAATATATTATTGTTTTATCTCTGCTTAATTCATTAATGTTTAGGAGTTGATTACAAAGAATTCTCCGCTTAGTGAAAAGGTGTTCAATGAAATAGAGAGACGGCTAGATGAAAGCTGATGAGTGATGTTATATCTAGTTGATATACTGCCAGACAGCGCCACACCCATACTGGCGACCAAATAAGGATTACATTCAGTCTATCCCATTTGCAAATATATAGTTCCAAGATTGGCCGCTATGTGACACCAAAGTTACTTAAGTTCCATTTTTGACATTGCATCGTCAATATCCTTTGTTAATTCTCAGATTGTGGAATACTAATGTATTTCATTTTACAGATTGAATTTTTCAGATGAAATCAATGTCTTCCAAGGGTCTAAAACAGCTAAAATCTAGTAACAAGCAGCACATTCAATAAACACCATGTCCCATAAAGAAACTGGTAATAAATCTTACTCAGACATTATCAAATAGTTAAGCTAAGCTTTTTTCAAGTGATTGAACACTGGTATTCAAAATTTTCAGTTAATCAAATAATAGTAATATTAAGAAGATAGCTTTTGTAAGTGTTAAAATAGTGAATATTTCCTTCATGATTATTTAATATATTTGTTGTTATTCATTAAACAAATTTATTAAGATTTGTGGTTGAGATAATTTAGTAGAAGAGCTGTATATGTATTTATTATTGTTTGTTACTAGACAATGCGACGCTACGATTATATGGCCCTGCATAGGGACTTTGTTGACCCTGTAGATGTTGATCATGTTCACTCAGGTTAATATCATTTATCCAGTCTAAGTTATTCAGCCTTTTCAATCAGAGGCGTATTCAGGAGGGGGGCCATTCCGGACCAGTGAAATCTATTGATTTCAGGGGGTTTTCAGACCCCAACATGTGCTTTGCCCCCCCCTGGAAAGAACAAATTTAAAACCCCCCCACCCCCGGACAATTTTCTGAATACGCCCCTGTTTTCAATAAAGAATATTAAGCATTGATAAAGAAATTAAAAAAAATTTTAATTGTTCATGAGAGAACCATGGATACAAAACAAACTGAATCTTTTTTGGGGGTAAATTCTCTTCTAGTATTTCTCACTAGATATTTCCAGTGCCCGGGGTATACTTCAATACCTATTTTATTGATCAGTTCCAACTGTAGCTGAAATTGTTCGTTGAAATAGATCAAACCAGACTTCATTTTGGATTTTGAGCTGAAATATCCCACGAAATTCTATTTCTATTTCATAACTAGGACCAAACTCTATTGCCTCCACTGTATCCTCTGCCTCAGATTCTCAGGATGAGTTTAAGGTGAATAGATTTAGTGTTTTAAGGATCTTTAAATGTAATTTCAAGTAAGTCTCCAATAATAGATCGGGATGTCCGATTCACCGGTACCATTAAAATCTTAGTCTGATCAAGTATCAATTAGATATCAATTCTATACTTGTAAACTTGGAGAAAGTTGGTGTAAATGTAGGCCCCGCGTAGGGAATTTAAATTTTAGTAAAACTGAGGTTGAATTTAAAGAATTTGAGCCGCGGCTTAAATCCGCCAAAACCCGGTTTAAATTAAGCGCCGGCTTAAATCTTGAAACATTTGATACAATTTTAAGTGGAACCAACCATATTTAAGCTGCGGCACAAATTCTTTAAATTCGGCCTCAGATTATCTTCAATTTGTGTGTTGTCTTGATTGATTTGCACATTTGAAAACAATGGAGGAATTATTTGAAGTTAACAGTTTTCAAGTTAGGTAAATAACGTTATCTTCTAAATCTTTATTAGGGAAAATGTTAAGAGTGTGAATCTTACGTGCCTCTCTTTATTTTTTTATATAGGGTCTCTTCAAACTACAACAGTCCCTTTAAACCAGTAATAAACACAGTTTATCCCCTTAACAATTTTGTCATATTGTTGATCAATTGTTTAATATAGGCTAAATATGAACGTCTCCAGGAAGCATACAAAAGATTACAAAGAAACAATATATCACTAGAGGTAAGATAAAGGAACAAACCATTTAATTAAGATATGAATATTGAATTCTCGAGTCTGATCACTTTCATCATGTTAAATCGTGATTAAAAAAGTATAGAAGGAAATTAATGAGATGATATACTCGCTTCCGATAAGTAAATGTTTGTTAAAGTAGTAGTACAGTCCTAATCAGAAAGACCCGAAAGGGGGGGGGGGCATGAAACGTATTACTCTCCGGAAAATTTAAACAGTGTTTAAACATAACTTAGAATTGTCGTAGGAGGCTGATTTTTTGCATGCAAACCCAGAATTATGTATTTTACATTTTTGGTTTTGAAGAAATCTGAGTAAAAGTGCGCGCGCGCCTTTTCTGAAAAAAATGCGACTTTTTGACAGTAAATCATTAATTGCACTTGAACATTTTTCCTAACACTCGTGAAACAAATATGCGCTAAAAAAATTCACCTCCAAAGGCTTAAATGTCCGCGCCCGCGCGCAATAAAAGAAAATATCTTTGAATACTTATGTGCTAAGTTTGGCCTAAGTTAGAATCAAACATCAAACTACAGCAAAATTGGGACAAGGTATTCATTTCCGAGGTCAAAATAGTCATTGGAGCATTCTGACCGGCGCGTTAGTAGCCAATCATTACTTTATAGGTCATCTTAGTACATTTTTTACATGTTTTATGTCGATTTATAGGTAATTTGACACGAGGAATTCGTCTCCGAGGTCAAAATAAATATTCGAGCATTCTGATCGGCGCGCTAGTAGCCGGCAGTTACATTATGGGTCAATTCCCACATATTTACATGTTGTATGTCGATTTACAGAATATTGGGCACGAGGAATTCATTTCTGAGGTCAAATTTAATATTTGAGCATTCTGACCGGCGCGCTAGTAGCCAACCATTACATTATGGGTCATCTTAGTACATTTTTTACATGTATATCAATTTACAGGTAATTTGGCATGAGGAATTCATTTCGGAGGTCAAATTAATATTCGAGCATTCTGACCGGCGCGCTAGTAGCCGGCAGTTACATTATTGGTCATCTTTCCACATATTTACATGTATGTCGCATTTTTCACAAAAAGCGCGCGCGCGTGCACTTTTGCTCAGTTTCCTTCAAAACCAAAAATGCATATAATATACATAATTCTGAGTTTGCATGCAAAAAATCAGCCTCCTACGACAATTCTAAGTTATGTTTAAACACTGTTTAAATTTTCCGGAGAGTAATACGTTTTGTGGCCCCCCCNAACTATAATCACAAAATAGCCTTAGTCCTGCCATTTCCAAAATGTGGTCTGCCTTTTTTGAGCATTAAAACATAAACATATGTAAAGTCGCCTGATAAACTGTCCATTAAGTCGCGGGTCTTTCTGTTAACTGTACTATAGCACAAGTGCATGTAAATAAATGTACTTCTATTGTATTTGATTTGATTCAGGAGAAGTTGTTAAATGTCGGGGAGAAGTTCAGCGCGGACAAGAACCTGATTTCTAGAGATCTAGCAACACAAACACAGAAGGTTTGTTTTAAAGGGAGTGACCGTCTATGTAAGGTAGTTGAACTTAGTATGCAGTGTTGTGGAAAACTACTTTTGGATTCATTTGAGACATATTAAACTTTTTAAAGATCTGTAAATCCTGAGTTTGAGCGCAAATTCGATGTTCAAAACTCCTACTTTGGGGGTGGATACGTTTTCAGAATTAGTTTTCTTAAATTATTAAATAACGACGACATATAATGTAAAAAAGTTCTACAATAAACCACACATAGGAACATGTTGAGAAAATAAAAATTAATCTAATCGTGCGAAAATAAGTATTCTTGTTCAATTATTAGCAAGCTTCTATTTTCTCATTATTCTGGTTTCTCATTATTCACAAAGATTTTCTGCCGATTTTCTAGAATTATTATTGAAAAGACGACATTTGAAGAATTTGAAGAAATCAGCGAATAAATTCAAAGAAAATAAGAAATTCAATATAATAATGAAAACGAAATGATCGATTTTAGCATTGATTTATTGACAAATTTCTTTTGAGAAATTTGTTCCTAACCATCTAATTATTTTACTGTATAATTTTTACTTTATTTTTCGTTGTCGTTATTTAATAATTTAAAAAAACCCATTCTGAAAACGTATCTACTCCCAAAGTAGGAGTTTTGAACGTCGAATTTGCGCTCAAACTCAGGATTTACAGATCTTTAAAAAGTTTAATATGTCTCAAATGAATCCGAAAGAAGTTTTCCACAACACTGCATACTCAGTTCAACTACCTTACATAGCCGGTCACTCTCTTTAATATAGAATAATAGCTTTAATATTAATAATAATAACAGCACGGGGGATTACTTTGAATATCTCCTCTTGAAATCTTAAGCAGGTAGTCAGGACAAGAACATTAAAAAATTATTCAAAACTTGACTTTTTTACGTCCAGTTATGGTAATTTTGGCATTACTAGTGGAATATCGAACTTTGAAATAATGTTTATCTTGTTACTTTTTGATTTATAAAAGCATACCCAATTTTAAACTGAATTTCTAAATATACGTTTTTTATTAATTATATATATAAATCTATCAGGTTGTAGAAGCTAAGTTTACGATTCAGCAGTTGAACAAGGAGAATACGCAGCTTAAATCTGATCTTAAGGTATATCTATATTTCAAGAGCAGGCATAGAAATAATGAGAAAACGAATCTAACGTGGATTTGCCTTTAGAAAGTATTGTCCTCGTGCACAAAGGTATATCTGATATTTACAGCCCGAGAACTATCCACCTTTTTAATGGTTTTAATTTTCCGGTTCTAATGAGATATATTTTTTTTAGATTGCATTGACGTTGCTGCAGAATAAACCGAATACTTTTATAAACCAGAAACTAGGCTCTCTACCCTCAGATTTACAGGTTTCAGTAATCTTTTAAGAATTAAAGGGATTGTAAGCTTAAATTCAAGTGCTCCACCATGGAAAGGTGGCAACGCCCGATTTACAACATAACTCTTTAATACGCTTTACAAATGATAGGTTCCGTAAAATGGAGGCATGGCTCAAATTTGGTCGGCTGCTGGGATCTTATCGGGTTTTAATGTTTTCAAGTCGAGCAAGCGTAATAGGAACACAAATTTTAGAAAGATCCAGGCTGAAAAACCTAAGTACACAGTGAATTGAAACCTCACCCTGTATGAGGGAGCTTAAAACAATCCCTAGACCTGATGATTTGATTTGATTTTGTGCAAGTTTGATTAAGATGTCAATTTTTATCATTTCAAAAATGATTATTTTCAATTGTGGTTTCTCTTCAGAAGTGACTTGCGCATTTAGGAATTATCATAATTGAACACTTTTAAATCTACATCAGGTAAAAATTTCAAGATTACCGTTGTAACTCGGGCATTGTCATCTCGCATGGTTACTTAAAATTATGCTGAAAGTCCCTTTAAACTTAACAATTATTGGCCGGGGCGTTTTGAAGTAGTTTGAACAGCTTCAGGTTTAAAGGTGAAACATTGATAGCACACTTCATTAAAGTATCGTTGACACTCCTTTTAGAAATCAAATTTTGCAGAAATTAAATAATTTAGTGCCGGGTTCGAGAATATTCTCGAGATAAGGACCGTGAGAGGGTTCAAAGGAACGGAGGCCAGAGGATCAGTGTTCAAATACCTCATAGTAGCTACGGAGCTCAAGAGGAAGATGATGAAGCTGTTTCTGCAGCAATCCTTGCTAAGGTATTCAGCATTTTTATTGCATCCTGGGCACAGATTTAAAAACTTAAACCCCATTAAAATCCGGCTTATTTGGAGACTCGTGCGTAAGTAATACCCTAGTCAGGATGGTACCTGATTGGTTCTGACATGCAAATGAGACTGCCTAGAAGCTTTCTCTTCATAGCAGACGAAATTTAAAATCATTAGCTTTTGAAGACCTGGGCCTTCAAGGCGGTTGGTTTTTTTTACTAAACCCAAGGCCATTCAAAACTCAAGTCTTGACTTGACTAGACGCTAAGACCGGTTTTTAATCGGGTTTCAACTTTTAAAATCTCGGCTCTGAGGTCGTATCAAAACAAATTATGAATGGGAAGTTGGAATTTTTTCCTATTTTGGCGGCCATAAGTGCTACTGCTCTTCCTAAAGAAGTAGTTCATTGGCAATGCATAGTAAAAATACTTCACCATGTTAATTAAATCTAAACTCAATTCTAACTCAAGTCACTTATACATTACGATGTTATCCGACCAACATTGTAACGTAACGTAAAATTGTCGTGCACAACAAAAACCAATGCATCGTGACATTTGACAATATTTCATCCTAAAGTAGATGCCACATCCGCTATACTTAATTTCTGACACACTTGCACATGGTTTTACAGCGCCCGGCCCCCTCTCCTGTTCGATCCGCAACCCTCGGCCCAGAAATTACCCTCAAATAATACAAAATGGACATTTCTCTCAGGTTGCATTGGCAGTAGGGTTGGAATTTAGTTAGTCAGAAGTTCAGTAGTGGCGATGTCGCGTTTAGACTATGTAACATTACCCAGATACACCGTGCAACCCCAAGCAAATATCTGTTGATGTGTGCATCTAAAGATTCAGGATTGACCAGTTCTTGTTTGGGTTTAAATTTGGATTCCCCAAATTGCAGTTTAATGAATTAAAACGGAACACCTTCTAGGTTTTGGAGCAGAGAGAACGCGAAAGGAGTAAAGATAAGAAGTTCTGCATTGATATTGGAACACAGGTAGAAATATGGAGAAATTTGTGCCAATAATTTATATTTTATGCTCAATGAATTATTCACAACGTATTTTGTTTCTCATATGTTTTATTTGTGAAGACTCACGAATGGATATTCCCCGACGCCTTGTCTACTGTCGAGGTTTCACGTAGAAATCCAGACAAACCTGAGCACGAGGGACGATCTGGGGCTGAGGAGGGACGAGTAGGGGATGAGTGTGGACGATTTGGGGGTGACGAAGGTCGCCAGTATATCGAAAAGTGCGGGGAATCTGACGAGTCCGGGGATAGCAGAGATGGAACCAAAACAAGTTCTTCCAAAAGTCAGAGCTGGGAGTCAGACTTCGGTAGGAACCAACTTTATTTGCATAACTATTCGTAAAATATAAAGAAGTTACCGAAAGAATTTATTTGTTGTTAGTAAAGGAGAAATACAAACCGTTCAATTGAAGACATAAAATTCCAAATTTTTCATACTTTGAACCTTCTTCGACATAGAGTTGATTTTTGGTTATTTTCCACGACACGAAATTCCCAATTTGAAGGGAAAATCCTTGTCACAAGAAATTTATTAATCTTATGTTTAGACTCTGAGAGTAGTGAGATAAGGAGATTAAACCAGAACTTAAACCAGAACCATGTTAGTAATATACTACTCGCCTCAGCAAGGACGGAGACTAAAGAAGGTATAGAGACTAGAGGAGGAATGGAACAGGAGGAGAGGAGACCCAGGGAGAAAGAACAAATAATAAATACTACCGTGGGAACTGTAAATCAACAAATAAAAAATCGAGAATCACAATTAAGGTAAGATGCTGAAATATTGCTATATTTTCGCTACTCCCGAATTCTTAGTTTGTGTTGCATTTTTTCAATTGAAACTTATATTTTATTCATTTCCAATCAATTGTTTTTGTTTAGATTATCTGGTGAAACCGGTTTGTCTGACGAGAACTCGGAAATATATCTGGCAAATGTTTCTCCCTCTCCCAGAAGAACGTATATACTCTCTTCAGGATCCAGCAGACAGTCAAATTATCCACGATATTCTGGAGAACAAGAAGGTTCTTCACAAATAGATGTTAGAGAGCCAAGGGATAATAGCGAACTGAGAGACCGTGCTCCTGTCCAAATTGGCGGAATTCAGAAAATACGTAAGTCTGACACTCCGGAGACCGGTATTTCTGGTTTACACAATAGAATCCAGGAACCCCTTATTTCTGGCGGAATATCTGAACATGGTTTCCAGGGTCGGGGCGGAGAGGAGTTAGAGAAGATTAGAAGATCGCACACTTTGGACCATCTCTCCTTAGGAGAAAATTACAAAGCACAATCTCAGGCTGGTCCGCTACCACCCAGTAATCCGGGCTCTCTTCTTAGTCTACCAACTTCCGCCTCCGGGGCGGATAATATCATTTCATATTTAGCCGGGTCCATATCCGGCTCCGCCACGGGTAGCAGGGCGGGAAGTATTGGACATCAATCCATTAATCAAACTAAGTTTGGAACCATGTCCCGGTCTGTGTCTTATAGCTCCAAGCAAACTGACCTGTAAGTCTAAGCTGCTAGAACAGTATTAGATGAAACATATGTAATGTATGCATTATGCAAATAACGATCTGCTTATTTATCACCTAATGGCCAAATCTGCAACAAACGAACTTATGTTATTTTGTTATCTTATTTTTTATTATGCTGTTATTCTTCCAAGCTTGTAAATGTTATTTGTTAGAGGTTACATGTAGATCTGTGTCTCATTTAAAATAGCACTATATATGATATATACATCCGATGCAAAGCAAAAAAATTTAATTGACTTAATAGAATTGAAAAGCTAAAATAAAAACGAGATTGCCAAAACTTAAAATTATTTTTAAAAGAAAAAATTCGGAATTAATCTTTTATTATCTTATTTTTCGCGACCAAAGATGTTGTATTGCAACTGTGCTAGTCATTAGAATGAATGTAGAATATGTATTTTGTACGCAGCTTATTTTTGTTAGAAATCAGTATTATTAACTCTTAACATACGATCTCATCATGTTCAATAGTCTAGTCATTTTCAGTGTTAAATATTACATTTTAGCATACTTTTGAAGTATATTTATAATACAATTAACATTAATATATAAAATATATATTTATGTACGTCGTGTATGAAAGGCTAAAAGTTGTTCAATACTTATTTATTTATAAATTTGTAGAAAACATGTGCCTTTTATGTATTTAAATCTTAAATAACACTCTAAGCCCAATTTGTTTAATTAATTTGTGTCTTAATATTGCTTACATAAAATATTTCTCTGGGTTGTAGAATATTATTTGAATTTTCAGAGCTAAAATGTCTCCGCTCCGCGTGGGACCTGTTAGCATGGAGGTGGGAGATATGAAAGATACCATGTGTTCCTGTGCAGCTAAAAAGGAATAGCATCCTTAGATTTGATTTAGAACTTTATTAAATTATAAAATGCATCCAATAAGGTCAGAATGGTTCTTGGCCTTGTTTATTGGTGTAATATTTGGTGTAAAACGTGTGTATTTCCTGATATATATATATTATATCAAAAGGAAATATCATTATTTTCCAGATTTTCCTTGTACATTTTCTATTTTAGTTAAAGAAAACATTTTTGAGTGTAATTTAAGGTTAAAACTTGAGGTCGTGATAATGCTTAACCACGTCGACCGAACCTCTTAAGAGATCATGAAATAAAGCGGCGGGGAAGGGAACCAAATAGATGTAAATAAGATGAGTTTTTGCCACAAACTCAAATTTTTGAACTCCTATATCTGTGTAATATGATGGTGTAAACCTTTGATATTTCAAACTTTGACTATTTAATCTAACATAATTCATAGTTTGAAATATCAAAGGTCTGTGACATAGTGCTGCGAAGGATATAGGTGTTCGAAAATCAGAGTTTGTGGCAAAAACTCGGTTCCATTTTTGACTCCTGATAATGCCTGATAATCACGTTTAAAACTGAGTTTTTAACATAATTATTCAATACTTATTAATTATTCACATATTCAATCTAATCTGAGATGATACTACTAATACAGGATGTAGCGTGTCAGTGCAATGAAAGTATTGTTGTTGAAGTAGTACAGAAAGATAACAGGAAAATCTCAATCGTCTGTCTTGTATAATAGTTTAAGTTATAGTCGGCGGCCAGGCAAATGAAGACTGAACAAATGATATACAAATCATTAAAAATTATTTTTACCTATTTCTTATTTGAACTTGCAACCAAAGTTCAACAAGTCGACCATTCATTCACAACAGTGTTAAATGAAGATATTAGCCTTCAATTAAACGCCGCTAAGATCGAACAAGAGAATTAAGTCGTTTACAAGAACTCCATGTATGGAACATAACAATGCATCCTTTAAAATTTAGTTAAAGAAAAAAATTCTTGATGGGACTATACGCTATATTTAAATTGATCCTCTGTTTAAAGAGGGATCTGGCCGATTCAGAACAGAATCTCTAAAAGCTTTTTGATCAAAAATGAATAAGATTTTTGTTGATGAAAAACTGTTTATTTTCATTTTTGGTTTCTCGGCAAATGGACTTGTACATTTCCAATAGAGAGAAATTTTTCGAAAAACGATTTCATCTTCCACATTATTAATCAGAATAAGGTTTAAAGTGTACTGTTATGAATTGGATCCTTCTTTAAATGGAGGATCACTTGAAATTACGCTTACAATCACTCTAACTTTTGATCAACAATGTTGAGATGTTTCTTGTACCAGTGCAATGCAGAAAGACCTGTTGAAAGCTGGAGTTGATGCATACATTAGAGCTAATCAAGGATTCAGCTTTCTTTTCCCAACTACAGGTATCTTGTCATTTTTAACTTTAAACAAAGAAAAATATGATCTCAAATATTGTCAAATTAGTTTCAGTGGGTAACGGCCTACGGGGTTTATTTAAAAGAAAAATAAACGTTATTGTGCAATTTTTTATTTTAGTTTTATAAATTTTAGAATTCTCCGACCCGTACATAAAGCAACATGTTGAGAGTATTCGAATTTGCGTGGAGGATGAGTCTCGCCTCAAGGTAGGATTTAAAAATATACATATACTAGCCTTATAGGGCGCTTCGCGCCCATCTTCTAAATTAATTGTGAGCATGTTCTCTTTGTGTACATCGTAAAACAAAACAAAAATAATTCGCGGATTTTCACAAAAAAATTCGTGGATTTTCAAAATTTTCAAAAATTTAATGAAGATCGAATTTTGATGGAGACAAATATTTGAAATTTTGATCATTCATAAACCTTCCCTGGGGCTCCGTGATGTCCCAAAAAAAATTTGGGCCCGATCGGTTCAGCCGTCTGACGTTTATTGGATACAAACAAACAGACAGACAAGCCAAATTTATATATAGACTAGAAATTCAAGGCGCTTCGCGCCCTTCTTTCTAGGCTTTTAGGGCGCTTCGCGCCCATCTTCTAAATTAATTGTTAACATGTTCTCTTTGTGTACATCGTAAAACAAAACAAAAATAATTCGCGGATTTTCACAAAAAATTTAGTGGATTTTCAAAATTTTCAAAAATTTAATGAAGATCGAATTTTGATGGAGACAAATATTTGAAATTTTGATCATTCATAAACCTTCCCTGGGGTCCCTAGATGTCCCACAAAAAATTTGGGCCCGATCGGTTCAGCCGTTTTGACGTTTATTGGATACAAACAAACAGACACCCAACAGACAGACAAGCCAAATTTATATATAGACTAGCCTTAGAGGGCGCTTCGCGCCCATCTTCTAAATTAATTGTTAACATGTTCTCTTTGTGTACATCGTAAAACAAAACAAAAATAATTCGCGGATTTTCACAAAAAATTTCGTGGATTTTCAAAATTTTCAAAAATTTAATGAAGATCGAATTTTGATGGAGACAAATATTTGAAATTTTGATCATTCATAAACCTTCCCTGGGGTCCCTAGATGTCCCACAAAAAATTTGGGCCCGATCGTTTCAGCCGTTTTGACGTTTATTGGATACAAACAGACAAACAAATAAACAGACAAACAGACAAGCCAAATTTATATATAGATTAGCATTCTAATTACTTGTAACTTGAAGCATTATCCTCAGAGCTCTGATTGGAACATAGGCCAGGATGTTTGCAGGATCATCACAACATGTACTGAATATATTCTAGGATTCTAATGAACTAAATATATATTTTAGGGTTCTAGTATACTGAATACATATTTTAGGATTCTAATATACTGAATATATATTTTAGGATTCTAGTATACTGAATATATATTTTAGGATTCTAGTATACTGAATATATATTTTAGGATTCTAGTATACTGAATATATATTTTAGGATTCTAGTATGCTGAATATATATTTTAGGATTCTACTAAACTGAATATAATCTAAGATTCCACTAAACTGAAAACAATCTAGGATTCTACTAAACTGAATATATTCTCTAGGATTCTACTAAACTGAATCTGCAGAAAGCTAAGCTAGAATATAGAATCTTTAAGCTGAGTAAGGGTGGACCGGATACTGAGGAAATAAGTAAGAATTAAGAAAATATATTTTAAATTATTGAAAATTTTACATTTTTAAAAGATTTCACAGTTTAAATCTTGCATCCTTGACCCCACCTAATTCAATAATTTTATTTGTAAATTATATCTATTATTTTCTAATCAAATTATATCCGATTATTTTCTAATCAAATTATATCCGATTATTTTCTAATCAAATTATATCCGATTATTTTCTAATCAAATTATATCCGATTATTTTCTAATCAAATTTTCAAATTTTTTTTTAGAATTAAACCAGTGCTTCTGCTTATGATACATTAAATTTTGATGCGGATCCGGATCCTGGTTCCGCACTTGAAAAAGATGGATCCGGATCCAGGTCATGAACATTTAGTTAATATTCACTGATTTTTGAACAGAAGAAGAATTCTCGAATTGATATTTTGTCCTTGGATCTGCATATTTTGTCCTTGGATCCGCATATTTTTTCGGATCAGGATCCAGGAAGCTAAGATGTTACGGATCCTAAGCTCTAGATTTAACAAGTTTTTATTTTCTAATATATATTTGGTAAGGTTGTGAAGATGGTGGAAGTAGTATTCCTGCTGCATCCCATTGGATTCTTCCATCAAAAGATTTCCAGGTTAAAATATTTGCAATTTATCATTTATTTTAATACTGCTGGCAGGACTTTTTAACCTCTTAGCTCCTCTTGTTTACGACAATTGTAAGAAAATCAAATTTATACGGTTTATACATACGCATTAATATTATTATTTATTTTAAAAGAACTTCTCAATTGATCTTTAATTAAAATGAGTTATAATTGATCTAACGTCCTATAAATAGGCTTTTATACTGGGGGTGACTTTGTGTCTTAGAAGATAACCTCCTTAAATTATTATCATTCTGATCTTTCCAAAATGTGACTTGCATTTTAAAAACAATTAAATTGAAGGAATAAATAAAAATATTGACACGATTTACTTATTTAAAAAACACCGATAGTTTCTAGATGCAAAGAATTGGCTTTACAATTTTACAAGCTTAATTATGAACAGATTTGGTACGAATAAAAACATCAAAGATTTGTTATCATTTATTTTATTCTGAAATATTTACTGAATAATAATAAAAGTATTTGTCAGGGAATGTGGGAAAGCCTGGTTTACGATTCAAATATCAAGAATGATCTTCTCAGGTTAAACATATTTTTAAACATTACTTTTATTGTTTTAACATCTTGATATTACAGATTTGTGGAAACAACGCTCATTCTTGGGGATAAGAAGGTATCGTTTTTTTATTTTTTATTTTTCCCGGAAACTAAATAGTTTCTTGATTGGTTAATTCCTCCAATTTTTTCACATGCATGATTATTTGATTAAAATTCTGTATAAATGTATTTGATTGGGCTGCATTAACTATCATCAACTGTATTGATGGAATTAACTGATATATTGATTGATTAATTGATATATTGATTGATTGATTTTCTGGTAGATTGATTGATTGATGGATGTACAGATTAATTTACTGACTTATTGCTCACTTGTCTCAATTAGATATTGATTAAATAATTGATTGGTACAGGTAGATCCTAATGTGATCAGCTGTAATCGCGTGGTACTACTGCATGGACCCCCTGGAACCGGTAAAACTAGTTTATGTCAGGCCTTGGCACAGAAACTATCTATCAGGTATCTGGTACATACCGAGCACCGCATGTTCTCCAGGGGGGGGGGGATTTCTTTGCACTTTATTTTATTGCAGTGTTCATCATTTTGACAAATATTACAAATCCGACAAATAATTTATCCTTGCCCTGCCGGCTCTCTGGTTGATAAGTATTATTACTAAATGGAGTGGGTAATTAATATAAAAGTATTTAAGATGGAGAAAGTTTATTTTTCAATTTAATTCAGGGAGTTGAGAATCTAATGATATAATAATTAAGGATGGGAATCTAACGATATGATAATAAAGGATGGTAATCTAATGATAAGATAATAAAGGATGGGAATCTAATTATGTAATAATTAAGTATGGGAATCTGAAGATATTATAATAAAGGATAGGAATCTAATGATATGATGATAAAGGATAGGAATCTAATGATATGATAATAAAGGATGGGAATCTAATGATATGATAATAAAGGATAGGAATTTAATGATATGATAATAAAGGATAGGAATCTAATGATATAATAGTAAAGGATAGTAATCTAATGATATAATAAAAAAGGATAGGAATCTAATGACATAATAAAAAAGGATAGGAATCTAATGATATGATAATAAAGGATGGGAATCTAATGATATGATAATAAAGGATGGAAATCTAATAATATGATGATAAAGGATAGAAATCTAATGATATGATAATAAAGGATAGGAATCTAATGATATGATAATAAAGGATAGGAATCTAATGATATGATAATAAAGGATAGGAATCTAATGATATGATAATAAAGGCTAGGAATCTAATGATATAATAGTAAAGGATAGTAATCTAATGATATAATAAAAAAGGATAGGAATCTAATTATATGATAATAAAGGATGGGAATCTAATGATATGATAATAAAGGATAGGAATCTAATGATAAGATAATGAAGGATGAGAATCTAATGATATGATACTAAAGGATAGGAATCTAATAATATGGTAATGAAGGATGGGAATCTAATGATATGATAACAAAGGATGGGAATCTTATGATTTGATAATAAAGGATGGGAATCTAATGATAAGATAATAAAGGATGGGAATCAAATAATATGATGATAAAGGATAGGAATCTAATGAAATGATAATAAAGGATGGGAATCTAATGATATGATAATAAAGGATAGGAATCTAATGATAATATGATAATAAAGGATAGGAATCTAATAATATAATAATAATAAAGGATTGGAATCTAATGATATGATAATAAAGGATAGGAATCTAATGATATGATAGCAAAGGATAGGTATCTAATAATATGATAATACAGGATGGGAATCTAATGATATGATAATAAAGGATAGGAATCTAATGATATGATAATAAAGGATGGGAATCTAATAATATGATAATAAAGGATGGGAATCTAATGATATGATAATAAAGGATAGGAATCTAATGATATGATAATAAAGGATGGGAATCTAATAATATGATAATAAAGGATAGGAATCTAATAATATAATAATAATAAAGGATTGGAATCTAATGATAAGATATTAAAGGATAGGAATCTAATGATATGATATTAAAGGATGGGAATCTAATAATATGATAATAAAGGATAGGAATCTAATGATATGATAATAAAGAATGGGAATCTAATAATATGATGATGGGAATCTAATGATATGATAATAAAGGATGGGAATCTAATAATATAATAATAATAAAGGATAGGAATCTAATGATAAGATATTAAAGGATAGGAATCTAATGATAAAAAATATAGGATGGGAATTTGATTATATAATATTTTAGGATGGGAAACCGGTACTCCCACGGCCAACTGGTTGAAATCAACTCCCACTCTCTCTTCTCCAAATGGTTCTCGGAGTCGGGGAAATTGGTTCAGAAAATGTTTGCGGAAATTAGGAATTTAAATTAAAACTTTTGACCCATCCTGTTTTCAATCGTAATCTATTATTTCGAAACTTTAAAGAATTGTTAATTGGTGGTGATGAGTGATTTAAACGATTCACTAGACACATTTAAACCATCATAAAAGGGCAAAGACAGCTGTTTTTTCCATTTTGAATGTGTTATTACGTCATTTTCAAAAATTTCAGAGAATTGACTAAAGTAATTTTCCTTAAAAAAAAAATTTAATAATAAAGATATTCACATTACTGTTCACTTCAACAAGTGTTTAGACTGGGAGTTATAGCTTTGTGTTATTAGAGTCATATTACTCTTTACTGTCATTTCACTTTTACAACAAATTTTGGAAATTCGATAAATATATTGTTAATGATTAATGATCATGGTCTTGGCTTCTCAATGTTTTGATTTTGATATTGGTCTAGGGACCTGATCGATGATCCGAACGCATTTGTGTGCGTCCTCATTGACGAGGTATAAAATATCTACATGTTATATTTTTTGTTGGATTATATTAACCCACTGTTAATCCTGTTATTTACTCTCAATTTTCATCTTGATTTTAGTTTCTCGCACTCTATTTAATTCATCATTCATTCTTACATTTTATCCTTTAATTTTATAATCTCGCTTTCCACTAATCCTACGTTTCATATTTTGATAAGCATAATACTAACTCATTTGACCTATATTTAACCAACCTAAAAACGTTTGTAAAGATAGGATTTTGGAAACTGGGCATTAATAAAAATTGCTTTTAATAAAAATCATGTTGTTCACACCTAACTAGAAAGGGAAAGGACTGTATAACCTCGTAGCTCTTCTAGTTTTGATTTTAAGTATGAGAAAACCTAATTTTTCTGAATGCATCAATGCAATTCAGAATTTGTTTTTCTTCTCAGTATCTCGTAAATAAAAGAAGTTATGATTGAAAACAAAACAGATTTCAATCTATCACGTTCAATTTACTTAAGTTTAACGTGTTCTAAATCTAATTTTACAAATTCCTGTTCCAGGTTGAATCCTTGACAGCTGCACGGAAGAACTCTGGTTCTGAACCAAGTGATGCTATTCGTGTAGTGAATGCTCTGCTCACCCAGCTGGATAGTATCAAACATTATCCAAACCTTCTCATACTCACAACAAGGTAAGAGAGTTCAGGGTGTCAATTTTTATCTATTTTTAAGCACACAAGTTGTTATAATACAGGGATTTACATTCGTTATGACAGTTGAGACTCGTCTTTGAGCTCTGCCATGATTTGCGGCATTCATTTGCCAACCTTATTTTTTAATTATGGTTTTGTAGGTAGTTTTCTTCACTAGATAGAGTTATGTATTAGACAATAATAATCAACTAATATATTTACTGTGTAATGTATAATGTTTATCTTTGAAATATTGAATTGTAAATCTTCTTGTTTTAGTAATATTACTGGAGCCATTGATCTTGCATTCGTAGACAGAGCCGACATCAAACAGTATATTGGACCTCCTAGTCAACCAGCAATATATAAGGTAGACATATCTGATATCAGTGTCAGGGTGGCCAAAATGTACGGATTGTACGGATTTTTTATTTTGTAACTCTAAAATTGTACGGAATGTACGGATTGTACGGATTTTTTTTCAAATTGTACGGATTGTACGGATTTTTATCCTAGAAATACACCATTTTTTTTAAATTTTCACTCATTTCAGCAAATTTTTCATTTAAATTTTAAAAAAAAATCTCGTCAAAATGAAGTTAGTTTAACTTCTTTTCTGCATACTAAATAATATTAAATTGATAAATGTTTCAATTGACAATCAAAATTCATTCATAATTTTCGAGATCCCAGAAGTGATCATTTGAGAAAATGTTTATCTATCTGTCTAGCTATCTGTCTAGCTAACTGTCTAGCTATCTGTCTAGCTATCCGTCTATCTATCTGTCTAGCTATCTGTCTAGCTATATGTCTGGCTATATGTCTAGCTATCTATCGAGCTATCTGTCTATCCTTCTGTATATCTATCTGCATGTCAGTTTATCTATCTTTTTATCTATCTGTTTATATATCCTATCTGTCTCTCTGTTTATCTATATGTGTATGTGTCTATCTGTTTCTCTGTCTATCTATCTGTCTAGCTATCTGTCTAGCTATATGTCTGGCTATATGTCTAGCTATCTATCTAGCTATCTGTCTATCCTTCTGTATATATATCTGCATGTCAGTTTATCTATCTTTTTATCTATCTGTTTATATATCCTTTATGTCTCTCTGTTTATCTATATGTGTATGTGTCTATCTTTTTCTCTGTCTATCTATCTGTCTGTCTGTTTATCTATCTATCTATATGTCTCTTTATCAGATCTGAGAACATCCTCTCAAGTTTCCACCGTTTATCTGTAAATCTTTTCATTTTTAGTTAATATTAACTTTCTTTTAATTGAGTGTGCAACCCTGTACCACGCTATTTTTAATTATATTAGATCCTAAATCTACACTCCACTCTTTCAAATTATAACTTAGTTGTCTGGTTGTTAAATGGCCTACACACCGATCTAAACAGTTTTAAAAATTAGAATCAACGCTCTCTAGTTCTCTGGTTCTCCGGTCCTCTGGTTCTCTGGTTCTCTGGTTCTCTGGTTCTCTGGTTCTCTGGTTATCTGGTTATCTGGTTCTCTGGCTTTCTAGTTCTCTATTATCTAGTTCTCTGGTTCTCTGATTTTCTGGTTCTCTAGTTCTCTAGTTCTCTATTATCTAGTTCATTAGTTCTCTAGTTCTCTGGTTCTCTGGTTCTCTAGTTCTCTGGTTCTCTTGTTCTCTGGTTCTCTAGTTCTCTAGTTCTCTTGTTCTCTATTATCTAGTTCTCTAGTTCTCTTGTTCTCTATAATCTAGTTTTCTAGTTTTCTAGTTTTCTAGTTTTCTAGTTTTTTAGTTCTCTGGTACTCTGGTTCTCTAGTTCTCCAGTTCTCTATTATCTAGTTCCCTAGTTTTCTAGTTCTCTAGTTCTCTAGTTTTCTAGCTCTCTAGTTCTCTGGTTCTCTGGTTCGGTTCTCTTGTTCTCTTGTTCTCTTGTTCTCTGGTTCTCTAGTTCTCTAGTTCTCTAGTTCTCTAGTTCTCTAGTTCTCTAGTTCTCTAGTTCTCTAGTTCTCTAGTTATCTAGTTAGTTCTCTAGTTCTCTAGTTCTCTAGTTCTCTAGTTCTTTAGTTATCTAGTTATCTAGTTATCTAGTTATCTAGTTATCTAGTTATCTAGTTATCTAGTTATCTAGTTATCTAGTTATCTAGTTATCTAGTTCAGTAGTTCTCTAGTTCTCTAGTTCTCTAGTTCTCTAGTTCTCAAGTTCTATTGTTCTCCAGCTCTCTAGTGTTTAATAGTAATGTTTAAGTTTTACATCTTTGCAACCTTATGTGGTAGACTTTTGTTATTATAAGCTGTGAATTCTGCCAGATTAATTAGATTTTTCGAAAATTGTACGAATTGTACGGATTTCTTCTGAAAATGTACGGATTTTTGTACGGATTTTTTCAAAAAAGTTTTGGCCACCCTGCAGTATATTGGACCCCCTAGTCAACCAGCAATATATAAGGTAGACATATCAGTATATTGGACCCCTTAGTCAACCAGCAATATATAAGGTAGACATATCAGTATATTGTACCCCCTAGTCAACCAGCAATATATAAGGTAGACATATTTGATATCAGTATATTGGACCTCCTAGTCAACCAGCAATATATAAGGTATACATATCTGATATCAGTATATTGTACCCCCTAGTCAACCAGCAATATATAAGGTAGACATATCAGTATATTGTACCCCCTAGTCAACCAGCAACATATAAGGTAGACATATCTGATATCAGTATATTGTACCCCCTAGTCAACCAGCAATATATAAGGTAGAAAATAAATCTAAAAACACGAATAGTAGATCTAGTAACAGGAATAGTGGATCTAGAAACAGACATAGTAGATCTATAAACAGAAATAGTAGATCTATCTAGCTAGCTATTCCTATTTCTAGATATACTATTTCTGTTTCTAGATCTACTATTCCTGTTTCTAGTTCTACTACTTCTGTTTCTAGATCTACTATATCTGTTTCTAGATCTACTATTTCTGTTTCTAGATCTACTATATCCATTTCTAGATTTTCTATTTCTGTTTCTAGATCTACTATTTCTGTTTCTAGATCTACTACTCCTGTATCCTTGAGTTGATCAGGACCCGGATAGTCCTGATGTTGAATCAATGTATTCTCCCTGTTCAAACAATGGTTGCTCAACATTGTAAGGTAAAAACAATTTTAACAGAATATTTAATCACAGAGCTGCAGATAATGAAAAGAGTAAAAAAAGTGACTGCCATTTTGTTGTACTGTCACCGTACTGCAGGTGTACTTCATACATTTGGGGCCCTGGAACTCTTTTTATAAAAACGGATATATTGAAAATTATATTTAACATTTAATCCAAATCAAATAATGATTTATTTCACATTAACACATATTTAAGTTTATTTTTAAACTTGAAAAAAGAATAACTTGTACACTGTACAGGTCTGAAAAAGGAACATACTGTATTGTTGTGATGTACTGCCTATATGTAAAATTACATGTGAAGATTTACAAGAAATGTTACATATTTTGAGACCCAAAGTGACTGACCATATCTATACAGAGGGAATTTCTTATTTCTTCTTAATATATTTTACTCTCTTTATCTATATATATATATTTTGTTTGTCTTGTCTGTCCGTTTGTATCAAATAAGTGTCAAAACGGCTGAACCGATTAGGCCCAACATTGTTGAGGGACCACACATTCTCATGACCCCAGGGAAGGTTTGTACAGGGAACACGATAAATTCACGTTTTTATATTTCTTTATTTTTTTTCCAGCAGAGAGGTTCAAAATACGATCATTAAAATTGTATCTATATTTGTCTTTTGTTACGACACATGAATCCGAATAATTTGTATTGATTAGGATGAATCTAGTGCTTCTATGATACTCTGGAATATTGCCGGTCAGAGTACTGGTATGTCAGGACGCACACTAAGGTAACAGTTTTTATAATAAGCATTTTAGATGTTATTTTCTATGTGAATTTGCAATCATGTGTTTTAAATCTCATTGTTTATATTTTAAATATGTAAATTCTCATATTTTAATTTCAAAATGTTTTAGTTCTCTACATGTGTTCATTGAAAAATGTGCTAGTTCTTCATGTGCCAATTGCTAACATATGTGAATAATGTTTGCATGGCTAAAATGTTTTATTGCTCTAAATGTTATTAATTCTCAACTTATTTGGTTATTGTCAAAATGTAGTAATTCTCAACAGTTGTTTGTTGCCAAAATTTGCAAGTTCTACATGTGCCAATTGCTAACATATTTTCATTTCATTTCATTTCATTGCTCTACATGTGTGAATTGCCATAACGTGGTAATTTGGTTTTTGCCAAAATATGGTAATGCCCTATACTTGGAACAACTAGTTGTCAAATGGAGTTAAACTCTGCAATAGTCATGCCATAATTGGGTGTTAGCACCGACTTTTAAACAAAGTTACAAACTGGACTTTAAAAGTCGAATTGAAGTTGGTTTTTTTCCCACCAGATTTCGCCCAGTTGTACTCGACTTCAAAAGTGACTCAGTTATGGCACAACTTTTGCAGAGTTAAACTCTACTTTATCACTCGACTTAAACTCTGCTTCTGGAAAGCAAAACTCCACTTTAAATAAGTCACTGTTTGCTGGGGTTATTGCTAAAATAATTCAATGATCTAAAGTGTTTATTGCCATAACATAATGTGGCCAATTTCCACATGTTTCTTTGCCAACTATTATGTTAATGCTCCACATGCGTAAAATAAGCAAATTAACAATATTGCCGATTAAACGTTCATTTTTATCTTGGGACGCAACTAGAAATTTCACTGAATTTGTTTAAATGTTAGGAAACTTCCTTTGGTGGCACTTGCAATGTATTGTGATCTCCAAAGGTAATCCAATAAAATATATTTAAGTAGGGCTAATTTTTTACAAATATAAAACAAATACAATTTTTGACTTTATCTGTAAAGATGATTCACAGTTTTTATTAAAAGTAACGTTACCTAACCTACACCGAATAAGGGCTAATTACTGTAATATTATTAATCACTAGCTGAAGTGCCCGGCGTTACCCAACCCAGGTTACTCATAGTTAGTCCCGCCACTTACCCGCGCTTGATCTTAAGTGGTAATTTTAATTGAAGTGCTCGGCGTTACCCAACCCAGGTTACTCATTGTTAGTCCCTCCACATACCCCCGCTTGATTTTTAATGGTGATTTTAATTGAAGTGCTTGGCGTTGCCCGTGGAATTTAAAAAAATTATAATTGTTTCAACTTTCAGCCATGGTTTCCCTGAAAAAAAGTTCTGCCAATTTGGTCCAGTGGTTTGACCAGGTTTAGCAAACATAGAAAAGAGCGAAAAGCTTTATTATATTGATATATTTTCTAATTTTATTGCGAGATAATAGAAAAAGTAAAAATAATCTTCCTTTCTTTCAGTTCCCTGGATATAATTACCTTTCTGGAGGCTTTACAGAAGGCTTTAAACAAGCAGCTAGAGGATAGAGAAGTTTTGTCGAAACAATAGGCACTAGCGACTATATGAAGTAGTCTCTTTAGAGAAAGGCTTGTCGAAACAATAGTCACCATCGACTATAAAATATCTGTGAAGTAGTCTCTTAAAGACTTCATATACTAGCTTCACTTTTTGTTTTTAACGAATTTCGTAAAACTTTCTATCCTAACTCGTATTGAAACAAATATTTATCAATTGGATAAGAGTTTAGATTTTTTAAATTTCATATGTCTAGGGGAGATACATTTGCGGTTGGAAATTTTTTAAATACCAAAATTCATCATATTCAAGTTAGTGTTTAAATTTGTTTTACTGCATTTTTTAGATGCTTTGAACAATGTACTTACTCTCCTTCTAATATTTCAATTTAATTGTTACCAGTTATATTATGATCCAGGCTTGTGATATCTAGTAAACATACGCTTAAACAAATATCAATACCTGTTGAATTGTACCTGAAATTCTTCTCTGTACTTGCAAGGCAACTACTTGAAATTAATATTAATATTTTTCTTGATCAGCTTGCTGCTCTAGTACTTCCGGTGAATAAGTTCCTAAAAAGTAATCCCATCCCCCCACCCCCACCCACTTCTTAAAACTAAAACCCCCTATTAAAACATTAATAACAAAACTTTTGGTGTTCTTCCTCACATACTAAACATGCAATTTATAGCCATAGACATTAGACATAGACATAATTACTTGAATAAAACATGTAAAATGAATAGAAATAATTAAAGCATTATTAATCGCTGTTTTTTGTTATTGACTGGATTTAACTGTAAAGTATTGCATTGTTTTGAACATTTTTTAAATAAATCTAGTGTATTTTTTTTTATTATTTTGTTTAAAATTAGTGATGATATCTTTTTGCATATTGGAGACATTTAACCAAATTTCAGTTTTGGTTAAACCACAAAAAAATAGTTATAGGGACTGTTTGCTGTTACTTAGTCGAGCCTATAGCAATCTTCATATTTTATTATTCCAAAGGTTTTGAAGAAAAATATAATAATGAAGCTCTTGAATATCAATTCTAGGTTTTTATGTTTAATCTAAGATACTTATTCATTTATTCATTTATTCATTTATTCATTTATTCATTTATTCATTTATTCATTTATTCATTTATTCATTTATTCACTTATTCACTTATTCATTTATTCATTTATTCATTTATTCATTTGTTCATTTGTTCATTTGTTCATTTGTTCATTTGTTCATTTGTTCATTTGTTCATTTGTTCATTTGTTCATTTGTTCATTTGTTCATTGATTCATTGATTCATTGATTCATTGATTCATTGATTCATTGATTCATTGATTCATTGATTCATTGATTCATTGATTCATTGATTCATTGATTCATCTATTCATCTATTCACCTATTCACCTATTCACCTATTCACCTATTCACTTGCTCATTTTCTCATTTGCTCATTTGCTCATTTGCTCATTTGCTCATTTGCTCATTTGCTCATTGGCTCATTGGCTCATTGGCTCATTGGTTTATTCAATATTCATATATTCGTCCCCTGAATCTTTCTTCCCACACCTCCAAAATACTATGGTTAGAAATGGGATAGAATATCATATATGTGTACTGTGTAGTGTGTGTAGTGTCGGCGTCGCCCGAACGGGCTGTGTACACCGTACACTGTACAGGCTGTATGAAAAAAACACGGAACATTTGAATTCAGATAATATTTCTTGATGTTACCGTCAATACTCAATTTTGACTTTTAAAGGTAGCAGACCACACTTTGGAAATGAGACTTAACTAAAAATACCGTTAATAAAGAATTATACTACTATCATTGGCCATTGTGTTCCATGAACAAATACCGCACTAAAGGGATATATACCAGTAGTTCACTTTATTCCCGTGTATTTGAGGACAGTGTACTAAGTCAAACTACATCCTTTCTGCAAGACTGCATATCTTCATTCTTGAATTGTATATTTTGTTTTACAATGGTCTGCTTGTTTAAGTCTGGTCTACAACCATTGGGTGTTTTTCAGGGGGGTAGGAAACAGTGTCAGAATTTAAAGAATTTGACCCGCGTCTTAAATCTGCTAAAACCGGTTTCAATTGAGCGCCGGTTAAAATCTTGAAACATTTAATACAATTTATTAAATAATGACAACGAAAAATAAAGTAAAAATAATACAGTAATTTAATTAGATGGTTAGGATTTCTCAAAAGAAATTTGTCAATAAATCAATGCTAAAAGCGATTATTTTGTTTCATTACTATATTGAATTTCTTATTTTCTTTCAATTTATTCGCAGATTTCTTCAACTTCTTGAAATGTCGTCTTTTCAATAATAATTCTAGAAAATCTGTAGAAAATTTTTGTGAATAATGAGAAAATAGAAACTAATAATCGAACAAAATTACTTATCTTCGATGATAAGATTAATTTTTATTTTACTGTAGAACTTTTTTACATTTTAAGTCGTCGTTATTTGATACTTTAAAAAAACTAATTCTGAAAACTTTGTGACCTTCCTAATTGTACGTACAAATGTGAGAAAAGAAAATTTATTTAGTCACATATCAGCAATTCAAAACTTTTTTTTCTAAATAGCTTCTTCAGAAAAGGAGTTATGATTGAAAACATGTAAGATTTACATCTTTAGTGCAAGTTTACTTTAGTTTGACGTGATATCTTTGAATTTTATGACGTGGATAAAGGAATTTAGTTTTTGCCACAAACAATGATGTTCTAATCCTAATATTTTTGCCATCCAATGTCGTAGACCTTATATATTTCAAAATATAAATTCTGTTAGATCAAATACTTTAAGTTTGAAATGGCTAAGGTTTTCGTCATCAGGTTGGACAGATATAGGGATTAGAAAATTCGAGTTTGTTGCAAAGACTCAACTCCTTTGTCTAATGATCCTAGTTTTGTGCTGGAGTGCATTGTCATATTTAATTACAGTTTAGATGCTGGTTTACTTTGTGGAATGGCCCCAACCCTACCCTTGCGTAAAATTGAAGTTAAGTAAGGTCCAAAATATCGAAAATGAGCGCGCGTGAAGGCAACAAGCTGTAATTTACCAGTCCATAATGCACTGGCGTAGTGAGAGGCTAGCACGGCTCGTTTAAAATTATTGTTTATCAGGGGGGGCTCTTTGTAGAATGCGCATTTTGTATTTCAAAGTTAAACCTATTACTTTAACTGTGACACCTGAGTTAGAAACTAAATTGTATCGTGAATTTCTACGGAGCTGGGCAATGTTTCGTTAACAAACGGCAAAAAATTACACAAAATTTGCAGAAAATAGGAAATAAGTTTAATGTATTTTTTATATTCGTTCATAGTTTTAATGTTTTTGAATGTTATCTTGAAATTTGTCCAGATGTTTTTACTTGAAATAATTGTTAACGGCTGCACCGTTGCTGATTTCGGAAATATCTTCCGATACTAAAATTGAGATTGTTGACGAATGCTAACTTTTGAAAATGACGGAAAACCGTCAACGAATTAGTAGCTAAAGAACAAAAAACGTTTAACACAATTTCAATTCATAATTGTGTGTTAAAAAAGACTGAACTTGCCACTGCCCAGCCCACAGCGAGGGGGGAGAGACAAGCCGCAGCTGTAAAGCCTCCATCCCACAATTTACTAACAAACATATAGTTGCGGCAATGCGCTTACCTGTAGCGCTTCCTTCGCCATACCCCAATATTCTTGACATTTTATGAGGAAATCGCATTAAATCAAACATTTTTACAGAAATTAACAACTATTGCACCAGTGAGCGAGCGAGAATGTTTACTCATATATTACCAAAAAAATATGATTAATATGTTTAGGTTATAATAGACATTTTGAAGCGCTACGGGTGAGCGCGTTGCCGCAACTCAATGTTTGTGAGTAATTTGCGGGATGGGGGCTGCACGGGAACGGCTTGCCTTCACCCCCTCACCCATTCTTCATGAACCGTGACTTCGGCCGAGACCCATTTCCTGTCATTCACTATAAGTCGACAAACCCATCAATTAGAAGTTTACCAAATTAATAGCGGATTCAGTAGCATTGTCATACAAAATTTTGCCCTTAAAGGGATTGTTCTTGTAATTGTTACTGACCCCCTATTTTATAATCAAAAAAGAAACATGCTCAATTCTCAAATGTAACCTTAACACATTGTCTTATCAATCATTTTAAAAGGTATCCGTTGTTTTTTTAGGTATAAAAGTGTTTAATTTTGACAATGTCGTTTATTATTTTTCTTTAGCAGAATCCGCAAGTCATTATTTTAGGTTTTACTGAGATTGTCTTTTATCTTCTATCAGAGTTGAAATTTTGAAAGTGAAATAAAAATTGATTTTATCAACAATGTAAGGCAAGGAAAGTCAATTGCGGTTGTGTATACTCTGTGTACATATTGAAACCAGTTCTCTTTGGGCGGAATTTGTAAACAATAATAGATGCATCAGTGTTTGTAAAGTATCCGAGGAGGTTAAAAGCATAAAATTTTGATAATTTTTATAATTCACATAATAGTTTCCTATGACCAGAATATTTCATTGATTTTTTATGTGAATGATGGATCCCATGTCAGGCTTCGACATCCGTCTTGTGTTTACATTAGCGCCCAGAGACAGTACACTGCAGTACTAAAGATGTGTACACTTCTGAAATGACTTTCCTTGCCTTACATCCTTGGATTTTATGTTTGCAATATATTATATAAGTAACAAACTTCGAAAAATGTATGGGCGCAGAATTTCTTCTGGAAATTTTTTGAAGATTAAATCTTTCAATCCGTGTACATCCTTGACATCGTTTCTTGAGGATTAAATCTTTCAATCCGTGTACATCCTTGACATCGTTTCTTGATTGTTTAGCAGCTACTGACCCAGCCGTTGACCCCAACGAAACTCTTGATTTTTTATAAGAAATTATTCTTTTTAACAAGCTCTTATTTACAACTTTTGGTCTTCTCAGGGTTAATTACCTAGAAAGGCCATCCTATGGATTCTCGATTTTTTTCAGTTTAAACAAAATTAACATATTGAGTCTATTTTAAATATGGGGTCTCCTGATGTAATTGTTGTTTATTTATGATAATATTCTTTAAATCTAGATATTAGAAAATGATGGTTTGATGAAGAGATTTACTGGTACAAAAACAAGTTTTGTTTTATCTGAAAATGATAAGTTTCATTGGTCAGGGTCTATAAGCTTGTTATGATCCTTTGGTCTACCTGGATCAAGTTACTCAGTACCTATATATTATGTCATTAAGTCTTAAATTAAGAACTAGAAGTGACTGACTGAAAAATAAGCTGAATCGTTGTTACAATTTTGGGTTTGCACCTTTAAATAAAATACAACACGTAACAAATTTGTTTCTCCAAGATTATTTATTGATGTTAAAATTGTTTTAAAATCAGGCTTTTAAATTGTAGCTTGTAAGTGCTCAGTTGTAAATTTTCATTTCTAAACAGTAAAAATATGAGTATATGATAAATCTATGATTAATTGTTTAAAAATGTTTAGCCTCAGTCGATGGGATTAAAGGCATTTGATATTATAAACTACATATAAACTTATTCTGTGTAGTTCTTCAACTACAGGGTGTCTTACATCAAATTAGACCGCGTCAATGGGTCTAAATTAAGATTTGGGGGACAAATCAGAAAATTTAAGAAGAATGAATCATTTTGAAAAATTTAATAAGTGTAATAGAATTTTTTTTTTCAGAAATTGCTAGATTTTTCGAGTATTATGTGCGTATTTTGGCGATAAAGATTGTTGATAATCTAATATGATATGGGACACTCTGTACTTCTTGTTAACCTTTAAATTTGGTCTTTGGATTTTATTCTTGTAAATATTCTTCATATTCAGGTTATTTAATTAGAGTTCCATATTTTTCATATTCTCAAACCTGTAAAGGTTGTCTTTATGAAATATAGAGACTTCTGTTTTTATTTTAAAATTTAGATTACAAGGAATTTTTGACAATAATTGAGATTAAGAAAACTACATTTTTAGCATGCTTTTACTGATGGTTATTGCAATTAAATGTTTGGTTTCCCCCAAAATGGATGCATGCTCTAAGAACCTATCTAAACATTTATTAATCTATTAAAATGAAGGTGATATTTAAAATAGACAGAAACAGGGCTACTTTTCACTTAGATTCATTTATTCGATTTAAGACATAATATATAATAAATATATATAAATGTATAATATATACAACAGAATTCTTTGCAAATATTTGACAACAAAAAGAATACAAATGTTAAATTTAGAATTATTTTAGAGAAAAATGTTTTTGAATTTCTGGAAGAGTCAGAATGACGAAGCAAAAAAAGTCAAAGGAAAAAATGGAAAAGTGAAAGAACTTTTAGAAAAATTGCAAAAAGGTAATCAAGAAATAATTTTAGAAGAATAAAAAGGTTCAATCATTGTTTTCGTTTTTCTAATTGTAAAATAATGATCATCAACATTGATAATATAAAACTGGTGTTGACCATTACATTTAGCGGACACAAAGATTTCGTCTATTCTTTGACTTAAATAAATAAAATATTGATATACAGGTACTAAACACTTTCCAATTCCTACATCTTTGGATCCTCATGGGCCAACCCTTTGATATTTTAAACTGTTTCTATTACAGGGTGTCCCAAAAAACATGGGAATTCAGTGACGAAATCAATATCGTCTTTGTTATAAATTAGCATTGTAATACCCGATTTCAAAAACACAATATTATTATGTCTGCTAGAGTTTATTTTATGAAAACGGTGAATGGTTGTAAAGATGTGTCTATAATGTCTTTGCAAGATAAACAGCTCACACTGTTCCATTGAGACCGTCAGGTTAAAAGGCGTGTCACTCGAATGAAACCTTTTGCAGTTGATACATTCATGTCTAGAGATATCATAACAACCAATTTTAAAATCTGCACTGCGTGTTAAAGTATCAAAAATCACGTTTTTTATTTTCGCGGATTTTCTCACTTTTTTACAAGAAATAAATAAACAATAAATCCGAATGCATTTAAAAAAATGTGAAAAAACAAAAATTCTTTTTTATTTAAACAAAAAATTATATTAAAATAGTTTTTCTCACTAACAAAAATGATATTAACAATATTGTTTAACATATTCGACGTCCATTAAAGCTTAGAACTGAGGAAAGGAGACGCTCACCATGTTCAGGATGTTCTTCCATCCTTTTATATCTGCTGTGGGTAGGTTTGAACTTGGAGTGAATTGCTTCGCCACATTGTTCAGCATATTTTGAAAGTCCACAATTATTGTACTCTACAAATGGTAAAACATGACAGAGTAATATGTGAATTTTCCAGGTTATAGACAACTTTCCTCCCAAAGAATTCTTGAGCTGTTCAAAAGATCTATGGAAACCTTTCTCTAGGTTTTTTCCAAAGCATGCTTCTTTGACTGCTTTAAAGTCTTTTAAACATTTTACAATTTGTAGAAGTTGAGGAGCTTCAGATGTGACTATACTTTCCAGTTTATCCAGGTTCTTCAGAATTTTGTTAGAATTATTTCCATCCCAACCTCGGCCCTGATATCCTCTTTGTAGAACCCTCTGTAGTTTTAACCAGGTATCAAACCCTGGCCAGAGATCCATCAATAAGTTTCCCAAAGATGAAACGACTCCTATCATTAAATGAAGCTCAGGAGGAGGGACTAGGGTTTGGAGTAGAGTATTTGGGTCATCTTCAGTATAAAGCAATCTTGGTTTTATTACATTCATAAAATCTTTCATGTTAGATTTTTTAGAATTATTCTCTGTAATATATCTTTCATACCAGTAATCAAGGTTTCCTAGAGTTCTCAAGTTTCCACATTCAAATCCAGCAACACCTTCACACCACAGACAAGCTCGTTTTCCTGCATGGCTAGACAAACCAAAGACTGCATTTGCACACTTCAGATCAAAAGCTGCCGAAAATTTGACATCCTGGAGGTTCAGTTTTTCTAATATCAATCTTAGATTGTAATTAGATTCTGGTACATCTTCAACAATAGCCAATATTTGACAGCGTTGAACTCCACTATTCATATATCTAGACTCTGTATCCTCATCAACATCAAATACATTTACAATAACTTTAAGAAGACCTCCACCTCGACATCCATTGATATACGAACAAATGTAGAGAAAAGATCTAGAGAACGTTGCTTAATCAAATCCATGATGAAAGCAGAAGTTTCTTGAACATAAACCAGGTCTTTTGAAACTACTTTTTCACTGCTTTCCAAAAAATCCACCTAAAGAATAACAAATATTAATTCCTGTAACCAACCTGAAGTCAAAACTTTAAATTGAAATGGAGCAAATTTTTAACTTTCTTTTAAAGAAAACGATTGCCTGTCTCAAACTCAAAATTTCTAATTTGTCCTAGACCTTTGATATGTCTATTGTCTAAATATGAATTCTGTTAGATCATATTATTTAAGTTTAAAATATCAAAAGTTTAGACAATCAGGTTGCAAAGCTATAGGGATTAGAAAAAAATCGAACATTTTCTACTGTTTTTTTTTGCGGATTTCTTCAATTATGATATTATAATTTATATTTTTAACAAAATTATTCCTATTTTTTTATTTATTATTTTAACCATCTTAACACGCAGTGCAGATTTAAAATTGGTTGTTATGATATCTCTAGACATGGATGTATCTACTGCAAAAGGTTTCATTCGAGTGACACGAATTTTAACCTGACGGTCTCAATGGAACAGTGTGTATCCTACCCTCTCAACCTATTCTCTACACTCTATCAGGGTTAAATATATAAACTTCCTATCCTACCCTCTACCTATTCTCTACACTCTACCAGGATTAAATATATAAACTTACTATCCTACCCTTTTCAACCTATTCTCTACACTCTATCAGACATATTTTGTATATTTTAAGGGGTTAAATATATAGTCTTCCTATCCTACCCTCTCTACCTATTCTCTACACTCTTCCAGGGTTATATATATAAACTTCCTATCCTACCCTCTCTACCTATTCTTTACACTCTTCCAGGATTAAAAATATAAACTTCCTATCCTACCCCCTCTACCTATTCTCTACACTCTACTAGGGTTAAATATATAAACTTCCTATCCTAACCTCTCAACCTATTCCCTACACTCTACCAGGGTTAAATGTATAAACTTCATATCCTAACCTCTCTACCTATTCTCTACACTCTACCAGGGTTAAATATATAAACTTCCTATCCTACCCTCTCTACCTATTCTCTACATTATTATTTTAACCATCTTAACACGCAGTGCAGATTTTAAAATTGGTTGTTATGATATCTCTAGACATGGATGTATCTACTGCAAAAGGTTTCATTCGAGTGACACGACTTTTAACCTGACGGTCTCAATGTAACAGTGTGACAGTGAAAACGGACAAGTTTACTCTGTTTGTATCCTGTAATTTTCTTGTTTTACTAAGTACAACCGTATGCAGTCAATACATAAACAAACAAATTGTAAACATAGCAGACGAACATTTTTCGGATTACAGCTTTCTCAGTAGGTATCACTATACTTAATTAAAGAATTATTTGAAAAGACGATATCGAATTCGTCACTGAATTCCCATGTTTATTGGGACACCCTGTGTTAGCAGAAATTATTTGCAAAATGCTTATTTAAAATATAAGAGGTATATGACAGATATAATAATTAGAAAATTAAAATTTTAGACATTTATTTCTCAACGAGCAGAGATCATATTCACAGTTCAGAGGTTCTCCTGTAAGTTATTTTATTTTGAGCAACCTTTGCTATTCATTGAATTCACAAGATATAATTAATGTTCATTTAATTCCAAAGTTTTGGGTTACCTCTGGTATGTTCACTAAACTAAAGTAAACTGCTCTAAAGATTGATATCTTGAATATTCAATCAGAACTCCTCTTATTGGAAACCTAATGAGAAGAACAAACATGTTTTGACGAAGCAGAAATGACGCAAAAATTTTACTCTCTCCTTCTGTGTTGTTTGCGGTGGTATAGTTAAGTTCCGTCAACGAAAATAATGGACCACGCTATGTTGTCAGATAAAAACAAACGGTTACTTAATTACATTAAGAACGCTAACCATTAACGAACTATAACTACCCTACCACTACCTACTTGGAATGCCTGAGTTCTAGCCTGAACTGTGTTTATAGGCTGGCGGAGGTATCCGGAACCGGTTCTGTTCTTGTTTGTTATTATGTACAGTATATGCATTGTTCCTACCAGTAAAATTTATGTGGATAAGGTACATCTCTAGATATTAACATGAAATCTATCACAAAGGAACTGAGTTTTTGCCACAAACTCCGATTTTCGAACACCTATATCCTTCGCAACACTATGTCGCAGTACTCGCAGACCTTTGATATTTCAAACTATGAATTATGTTAGATCAAATAGACAAAGCTTGAAATATCATAGGTTTACACGATCATATTACACAGATATAGGAGTTAGAAAATATGAGTTTGTGGCAAAAACTCATCTCCTTTCACAAAAAAAGGAATGAAGACGTAATTTTAAGTGACCCCTCAAATTTGTACAATGGCATGCCCAATTTCTCGGAACTTAACTTTCAGCCAGAAAAAAATCTCGGTTTTTGATGACAACTAAAGGGTATCGTTGTGAATCAGACATGTCAAAGTCCCTTTATAAATGGAGGGTTTATACTTTAAATTACGTCCACAGTTTTTTTTATTGCAAACATGATGGTTCCTTCTCTTTTACTTGTATAAAAAGGTCCAAATTCCCAGTCCCAAGACAAAATATCACTGGAAACAAATTCTTGGGTTTTTGATTCTATAGAACTTTTTAAGTGTCAAAGTTCAGAAGACTTCATTTTCAACAACTTTTTTTCAGAGATATTTTCAAATGGTTATTCCTTTTCCTACCTAATACTTTGGGCAATTGATGTAACTTTAAAAAGGCCTGATGAAATTAACTTTATTTTTAAGTAATTATTATTTGCATTTTGTATATTAAATGTGAAAATATAATATGACTTGATACATGTAATTTGAAGTGTGTGCAGTACTGCTTGTACATCAAGTATGTTAAAAACGTGAGTTTGTTCAATGATTTTCAAAAAATATTCATGAATTTGACTTTATTTGTATTTAACTAAACTTTACTCACACACAAAATGAGTGGATAGTACATAAAATTATATTTAACGCTTATTTCCTGAACAAAATTTCATTTTGTGACTTCTTACTTAAATAAATGATAATGAATTGATTTTGTTAAAATATTCAAAGCTGTAAAAAAAATTGGCATATTTAGGTATGTAGAATCGAACTTGCAGAATTTCTTGAAGCAAAAAATCTTTCAACTGAAGTATGTCAACTTATGCAAAGGTTAGACTAACAATCAACCATTTTTATTTCAAAATGAAAAACTGAGTTTAAGATCCCGTGAATCCGAACAAACTTTTTCGTCGGGTTTTCAAGACTCAAAAGTCAAAATAGATAAAGAGATCCACTTCAATATTTTCAAATAAAATCTAATAAATCAAATAAAATCTAATTTGCTAATTTTTTAAAATTATGAATCACTTTTAGAAATAAATCCTATGAAGAAGTTGAGAAAGAAACACAGGTTAGAACTAATACTATTTTATTAAAGATCACTCAGGTATTTGCATAGATAAAAAAATAAACATAGATAGATTATGTACGCAAAATCACCATGAATTGTACAGTCCGCGAAGACATACTTCTAGGGGTCAAAGTATACTCCAATGATAAGCGGGGTGGTTTGGTGTTTTATTGGATTTCTATAAAACCACTCAGGAGTGAATTTTATTTTGAGAATATCAAATTATTTCACTGAGCAATATATCATATTGACGAGAACTGAAGAAGGACATGAGAAGGACTAAACTAACTTAAATTTCTCTCTACAGAACTCATGTACACCACAAGTACTCAATGACATCAGAACAGCCAATGTTCACAACCGACCTAGTTAATCTATATAATAGGAATATCTTTATAAACATCTCTGTACATTTATATCTTTCAAGATGAAAAATGTCGTCTTATGCGCAATCTATCTGTCCGGGTATTTGAAAACACTATTTCAAACTGTAGACAAACTTAAGTTTTCACCGTTTTTGATTATTTTTGGATGCTATCTCATTTGAACTACTCCCGTTTGAACTATTGTTCATTTAAACTATTGTTCATTTCAACTACTGCACGTGGTACCACGTGAGTAGTTGAAATGAACAATAGTTCAAACGAGTAAATATATTGCTCATTTGAACTATTTTTCATTTCATTTGAACTATTTTTATTTGAACTATTAATATTTTAAATGAAATAAACAAAAAAAATAGTTCAAATGAACATTAAAATAGTTCAAAAGGACATAAAAACAGTTCAAATGAACAAAAAAAATAGTTAAAATGAACACAAAAATAGCTTAAATGAACAAAAAAATAGTTCAAACGAACTTAAAAATGTTTTTTAACAATTTTATTTGAAATTTTTGTTTGTTTATTTTTCATTTGAACTATTTTTTTCATTTAAAACTATATTTTAATTCATTTCAATTTTTTTTTCATTTGAACTATTTTTTTTCATTTGAACTATTAATCATTTGAACTATTTTTTTTTCATTTAAAACTATATTTTAGTTCATTTCAATTTTTTTTTTCATTTGAACTATTTTTATGTTCATTTGAACTATTTTTTTCATTTGAACTATTTCATTTGAACTATTTTCATGTTCATTTGAACTATTTTTATGTTCATTTGAACTATTTTAAAATTCATTTGAACTATTCTTTTTTCATTTGAACTATTTTTTTTCATTTGAACTATTAATCATTTGAACTATTTTTTATTTTAGTTCATTTCAATTTTTTTTTTCATTTGAACTATTTCATTTGAACTATTTTTATGTTCATTTGAACTATTTTTTTTCATTGGAACTATTTCATTTGAACTATTTATATGTTCATTTGAACGTATTTATGTTCATTTGAACTATTTTTATGTTCATTTGAACTATTTTTTTGTTAATTTAAACTATTTTTATGTTTATTTGAAACATTTCTGTGTAATGCGGTTATCTAATTAATTGTCATGAACTATAGTTCAAGAGAGCAAGAAATGTGTTGATTTAAACTACAGGATATGACGTCATGTCAGTAGTTCAAACGAACAGTAGTTCAAATGTACCATAGTTCAAACGGCAGTAGTTCAAATAAGAATCCACCTGTTTTTGATGAGATCAGACTTAACGGTACTGTTAGCGGGATTTCAAAGGACCCTCCATGCAAAGATGGCAGTGCCCGATTCACAACGGTACCCTTGAAACCTTTGTCTCATCAGTACTCTGGAAGATATTGCCGTAAATTAGTTATTTTGATTATTTCTACATTTTTTTCTGAAGTAGAAGTACGCAAGTCTATTTGAACAGGGGCGGATACAGGATTTAAGTGAGGGGGGGGGGGCAATATTATTTAGGAACAAAAAATTCATAATTAGGAACCAAAAATCGTGGCGCAGGCGAAATTTTTTTGATTGAAAAGACTCAAAAAGTGTCAAAATTAATGACTAAAGACTAAAAAACTAGATTTTTAACTTTTCACACATTATAGTTTATTAAGACAGATACTTTTTCTGTTTTGCACTAGGGTTTCTTTCCTTTAAGCATGCTATTGAGAAGCTATTCTGAAAATAGGAACAAAAAATTCCAAATTCAGGGGGGCTATGCCCTCCCTGAATCTGTCAGGGGGTGGCAAATGTCCCCCCGTATCCGCCCCTGTATTTGAAGAAAAACCACAATTAAATGATAAATTTTCTAAATTATGAATATGGATATCTTATTCATACTTGATAAGCTTTTAAGGTTACCAATTTGAGTCGGGCATTCCCATATTTGCATAGAGGGCATTGAAATTACGCTTACAGTCTCTATCTCCCATATACCAAGTATAGGGTTCCCTATGTTTAGAAAAGAGTATCTGAACTGAAGGTAATGAAGGTCTGATCTCCCATATACCAAGTATAGGGTTCTCTATGTTTAGAAAAGACTATCTGAACTGAAGGTATATGAGGGTCTGATCTCCCATATACCAAGTACAGGGTTCTCTATGTTTAGAAAAGAGTATCTGAACTGAAGGTATATGAGGGTCTGATCTCCCATATACCAAGTATAGGGTTCTCTATGTTTAGAAAAGAGTATCTGAACTGAAGGTATATGAGGGTCTGATCTCCCATATACCAAGTATAGGGTTCTCTATGTTTAGAAAAGAGTATCTGAACTGAAGGTATATGAGGGTCTGATCTCCCATATACCGAGGGTTCTCTATGTTTAGAAAAGAGTATCTGAACTGAAGGTATATGAGAGTTTGATCTCCCATATACCATGTATAGGGTTCTCTATGTTTAGAAAAGGATATCTGAACTGAAGGTATATGAGGTTCTGATCTCCTATATACCAAGGGTTCTCTATGTTTAGAAAAGAGTATCTGAACTGAAGGTATATGAGGGTCTGATCTCCCATATACCAAGGGTTTTCTATATTTAGAAAAGAGTATCTGAACTGAAGGTATATGAGGGTCTGATCTCCCATATACCAAGTATAGGGTTCGCTATGTTTGCTGGTACATGGGCGGATAGAAGAGGAAGAAAACTTGTTATGATTCTTCCATTTATAGGTCAGTTATTACCATACCTTTGTCCTCAAAGGGACTGTAGACGTAATTTCAAGTGGCCCTTCAAAAAAAAAGAGGGACAAGCTTGATTGAGTTTTTATCAATTTTGTTCGAACAATCGTGAATTAGGCATGCCTGTCCACAAAAAGAACGTCACTTAAAATTACGTTGACAGACCCTTTAAAGTGAGTTTCTTATCCATTTCACCTTAATTTAAATCTTCCATTTTCATGTTTTATGCATTAAACTAGTCCAATCAGAGGCCGAATTTTAAGTTTGAGTCGCGGCTTAAATTTGAGAATCAGGTCAAATATGTTTGGTTCCGTTTAAAATTGTATTCAATGTTTCAAGATTTAAGCCGACACTCAATTAAAATTTTTGGCGAATTTGAGACGCGGCTCAAATTCATTAAATTCGGAATTCGGATATATCAATAGCATTATGTGAAGAGGAAGATAACCGTAAAAATTAAAAAGTAGAATTCACCCAATTTATGCATGCCAATGACTTTATTGTTGTACACGACTGAAATTTGGACCTTTTTTGACCCTATTAAAACTGATTTTGGAATTTATTAAAATTGGATGAGGTGTGGTGGATCCACTGTACAGTCAAATTATTAATTGTTTCTCTAATGATATATTTTCTTGAGTGATGGAGAAGGGTTTGTAAAATTTAAATTTACAGAAACATCAGTTATAGATGAAATTAGATTAGAGATCAATTCAAGATATTATTACTTTGTTTTTACCCATTCAAAAAGTCCTTAATAATGCAAATTACATAGATGAATTTGGAACTTAGATAAATTTAGGCCAAATTCTTAGCTTTATGTGGCTGCTGGCCTGTGTTCACTGGTGGGATGAGATTCCTCCAAAGTATCTTCTCTTTCAAGGTAAAATGGAAAATTCTGAGGAAATATTTTATATTTCGGATTTCCTTTAATTGATTCTTCTTTTCATTTTTTCTTTCTTGTAAAAAAAATCTGTAGTAATTTATTATTGTCAGGGACGGATACAAGGGGGGGGGGGCGGGGGACATTCGCCCCCCCCTGAGATTTCGAGGCAAAAAATGTTCCCAATTTGATAAATGATATTGTTAACGATAAATTTAGAATTAGAAATTAATTGTAAGTTAATTGTGATAATATTGTTCATATCTAGTAATGTTCCTTAATCAATACTCATTTATCAAAATTGTAATATTGTTCCTAATTTTCATGCATTGAAGTATAACTAGTAATTTATTTTTGTTCTTAAATTGCTAATGTTCCTATTATTGTTCCTGTTCCTGTGTCCGACCCACCTTAAATCCCTGTCCTAATCCTATATTTTTGTTCCTAATTCCTGAACAATCTGTTTATTGTTCCTAAATCCCTGTCCTAATCCTTTATTTTTGTTCCTAATTCCTGAACAATCTGTTTATTGTTCCTAAATCCCTGTCCTAATCCTTTATTTTTGTTCCTAATTCCTAAACAATCTTTTAATTGTTCCTAAATTCCTGTTCTAATCCTTTAATTTTGTTTCCAAAATTTAAAAATCTAGTTTTTTAGTCTTTAGTCATTAATTTTGACTCTTTTTGAGTCTTTTAAGTCAAAAAAAATGTTTCGCCTGCGGCACGATTTTCCCCCCCTAATTATTCATTTTTTGGTTCCTAAAAAATCTTGCCCCCCCCCCTCAATTAAATCCTGTATCCGCCCCTGATTATTGTTATAACTAACATATGGCATTGAAACATTTTAAATTGTATCTTAGAAATAGATCAATTACAAAGTACATGATCTCCTTTATGAGAATCATAACCATTAAATGAGGGGGGGGGGAAACAACATTTTTTCTGGTTTATGTGAAAAAAATCAAAAATTAGATTTAGTTCTTTTTTGGCAAAATTTATGGCTCTGTCTCCGCCGTCGCCCCAAAATGTAAATTTCTAGACAATTTAATAAGATTTATTTAGGTATAACAGGATGGACAGGAGGATACATGTGTCTCAATGTTGGTATATTCTCCTATATTTCCGATACAAGCACCATGGAGAACAGAACGTCAAGAATGTCCATCCTCACCGGTATCTTCGGTTTCGGGAGCATCATTGGTATTCAGATCGGAGGCAACGTCGCCAACTACTCGGCTATATTCATAGCAGCAGCATCTCTTGGTATTATAGGAATATGCTACACAGTTTTTGTTCTGGAGGAAAGCTTGGATAAATCCCTGCTAACTGATGGAAAACAATCTGTGTTAAGTCAAGTGATTGGTTGCTTCAAAACTACAATAAAGAAGAGACCAGGCCGGGACAGGATAATGTTATTTATCAACTTGTTCCAGTTCATGTGCTTCATGCTGTGCATCAACACCAACGAGTTTGATTACTTGATGACCAGGCTGAAGTTCTCCTGGACCAGAAAGGATTATAGTAATTTTATGACAGTGAAAGGCTGTATTCGAATTGCTGGTTAGTTAAATTCATCACTTTAAATAAGAATTTAGTTTAAGATAAGATTCTAAGACATTTTAACTTGTTTTGTACCCCAAAAAAACAAATAAGACAAAACTAAAGCAAAATCTTAATGTATCTATACTGATGTCTTCTCATGTTTTTCCCCTCTTACACCCCTTACAACCCCCCCCCCCCCCNTTATTGTTAAAAGAAAACCAAATTATGAAATAGGCTGGTTTCATAATTGACCAATGATCATTTCACATAGACTCTATGCCTTCCGGTCAACAATATTGAGTTTAGACTATATAAAACCTATTTTTTAAGAAGTCTCGAAGTAGTCGTAATGTTGTGTTAAAGTTCTAGAATATGACGGAAATCTGGTAATTTCTGTGAAACTCTTATACGCGAATCAGCGTTCAAACCAATACTTGGGCGTGCTTGTGACTCCCCTACATCTTTTATTATTGGTTGTTAGAACCTATTAACATATCTAGATTATCCTAAATCCGTTGTAGTTTTGTGTAAGAAAGCACTAAAGTATACGGTTTTTTTCCGAAATAGCTTGTTGTAACAAAGACGACATCTTAACATATTGCGGGTTTACAGGATCCATTCAAGGATAATTTATGGACGGGAAAAGTAATTTTAAATTGAAATCATTATAAATCAATGCAAGTTACAATTCATACAATGTTTGTAAATGAAAAGATTATCACAATAAATTCACAAAGTCCATTCTCACCATATGAAAGACAGGGCAAATGCATTTTAAAAGGAGTATTTAACAAAAACCATTCCCCCCCTCACCTAACCCCATTACCCCCGCTGCACTGGATGATTTTAAAAAAATGCAAAAAAAAACATGAGAAATCAAAATTGCATGACTGTTCACATATTTACATATCCATAATTTTTCAGTTGTTATTAATTTTTTCTTTCTATTTAGGCTTATGGATATTCCTCCCCATTTTATCAAAAATATTCAAGGTTAGTTTAATTTTAAGGTTGGGGGATTTAATTGATTAATAATAAAAATACAACTACAGTGATAAAGTGGGGGGGGGGGGTGTACTGTTAACTAATAAAAATATAAATACAATGTGAAGGTGGGAGACGGTCTAATAGTTTCTATCTGCTGCTTATATGAGGGTCTGATCTCCCATATACCAAGTATAGGGTTCGCTATGTTTGCTGGTACATGGGCGGATAGAAGAGGAAGAAAACTTGTTATGATTAACTGTTAACTAATAAAAATATAAATACAATGTGAAGGTGGGAGACGGTCTAATAGTTTCTATCTGCTGCTTTGTTACCAGGTAAACCATTAGTTACTTCTTCTGCATATGAAAATAAGTCTATAGAAAGATTTGATTTAGATTACATGGTTATTGGTTACCCTAGGATGAGACTTATAAACGACCTGAAGCTCTTTAACTTGGGGTTTTTGCCCGAACTATTTTTTTTTACCGGGAACTTCAATTATTTGGAAAATGAAAAGACAATTTGTTGATGTAAAAAATCCTTTTTGGGTAACCCTTATATTCTTTTTCGAATAAAAAATGTATTTTATGTTAACATTAAGTTCTTTGTAAAAAAACATGATATCATTTCTTTTAATGCCATATCTTGATTTCAGTAACATGTTTAAGTGCTGTTGTCATCCCGATACTTTGTCGATTCGTTAGTTAATGGTTAGTTAATAGTTAGTTAATGGTTAGTTAATGGTTAGTTAATGGTTAGTTAATGGTTAGTTAAATTAACAAATCGGATAGGTGACCCACAAAGACGACTGTACATAATTTATTCAGTCTTTACTCTAATTCCTCTAACAGTGTTTCTTTCCTGGAACTTGAAACTTATTTAATTCTTTAACATATGATTAAAATCGGTTTATTGAATGAATTTGAGGTCTTCATTTCAGTCTCATTCTTTGTTGTTAAACCCTGTATAAATATTCAGTATTGGCTATCTGATACAGACTATTTGTTCCACGGACTGGGGAGGAGACTGGCCTCTCTACTTCTCCTTATTCTTACAACCAAATGCTTTAGGATCTGCTGGAAACAGGTATTCACTGTCAGGACAAATCCTATTGCTATGTTCAACATATTGAACAATAAATATCAACGAAAATTGTTCGACCTATTTAAAACTATAAATAGAATCTATAATATAAACTTATGTTGACGGCAACTTAAGTATATGATTGGTTTTATGTTGTCTGCTATAAATATATGCGGATGGAGTTAGAAATGTTTCAACTCAAAAGAGAAAATCCGCGAAACCATTCCAATCTGATTCAACATGGATGAAATAGTAGCAAGTGCTTTTCTCCGTAATGACTTGGGCTGGCACCCTTTCAGAAACGACGATCTTTCCGATTCTATCATTCAAGAATTCAATACAAAAATATATTTATGTCTTGATCATAATTGTAGAGTTTAGCATGGAGCACAACATTTAAAACAAAAGCAGAGAACAAAACCACTATATATACTTTAGTGGTGTCCAAGACAAAAGTATTTTAGAAAAGAGGTTGTAGAAAAGTAAAAAATGATGATTTTATAATAAAATTTTTTTCACTGCCGAAAATATACTTTAAACTATATGTTTTAGATTTAGGGTTAAAAGAATAAGCTTAGATAATTCTGATTTAAAAAATAATTAATTTTCATAATCAATATTTCAATAATATTAAAAAGATATATAAATAAAATATAACTTTTGAGCATCTTTTAAGCATAAAGCGCAACAAGTTCTGCGCATTTTTTGCGTAATTTGCGTAAAACTGGAAGTAGTTTACGCAAAACCTGTTATTGTAAATTGACCAAAATTGACCGTTTCAGCGCAGAATCAAACAACTGAAGATTTATTCAAAAATTTACAACATATAAGTTATGATTGTGCTGCATTGGTTACTTTTAGTTACAAAATCTTAAAATTGAGAGACAAGAATTAATAAAACAGAAATTAGAAATTTGAAAATTGAAAACTGATGCATAGTTTTTATATAGATGTCTAAATCTTAGTGGGGTGTTAATCTTTTATATTTCAATTGTTGACTACTTCTATGATTGAAATATCAAATCCATGCCCACCGAGATAAAGACAACACTGAAACTTAGTCATCACATTTTTATACAGCCTCGGCTTTGAAGCGTCGCAACTCACTGATACTTGTAGGCCTAGACATATGCATTTTTAATTCTATTCTGTTTCTATCTTAAGTTAAAAATGAGAAATTGGCAAAATACTACTCGACTTTTGTGTAAGATCGTACAAATCTTAATTTTCTGTGTGCCATCATGAATCAGGTTGAAATTACCAAAAATGATCAATGTTCATTCAATTTAGGTCCAGATTAAGTAAGATCGCTGGAACTGGAGAAGTAGGTCAAATATTTGCTGTTATAGGGATTGGTCAGGCTATTGTAGCACTTGTTTCCCATAGGTAGAAAATACTTTGTCAACTCATTTTTTATCTTGAAACAAATATCTACATTATTTTACTAACAATGGGACTCATTAAGCTGCAGAAATACGAAGACGACTGCTAGACTCAAATTATGATTTTACGACAATATTACATACAAAAAAGATTGTTTAAATTTCGTCTTTAAAGGAATTAATTGTCTTTGCCACAAACTCTGATTTCTAATCTCTATATCTTTGAAACCCAATATTATTGACCTTAAATATTTTAAACTATGAATTGTGTTAAATCAAATAAACTAACTTTGAGATATTCTTTAACTTATCAGGTTGCAAAGATATATATTATAAAATTTGAATTTGATCCAAAGACTCAATTCCTTTCACAGTTTTATATGACCCACCGTATATTCCAAAAATAATGATTATGTGGATATACAAGAATGTTGTCGAAACCTCTGTTTAATCAACATTTTATTTTGTTTAGTTTGTTTGGAGTGATATACAACAAGACCCTGTCCATATACCCCACTAGTTACCTTATACCAATTGTAATTTTACTTTTTATTTGCTTCCTTCTTACTTTCCTTGATCCACAACTTGTCGGAGTCAACTCTGTTGTTCCTCTAGATCAACTAACAGAGATCAAAAACAATGTTAACTCTGAAAATGATACCAAAGAACTACAGGAAATAAAGGTAAGAAAACACTATACCTATCAGTGTCAATCATAGAACCTCCCCCCCCTTCCCCTTCCCGAAAGGCTTTTCCAGTTAGATTAAAAAGATCAAATTATGGTTTACCGGTGTTGAGCCTTAAAAAAAACATCAATTGTTTTTTTTACCTCTTAATTTAGCAGTGCACAGGTTTAGACATAGAGAATAGAATATATAGAGAGGAATTTACTAGAAAAAAGTGTAAAACGGCCATTTTGTTGTACTGTTTCCATACTGCTGGTGTACTTCACATATTTATGCTATATAACCTGTTGGGCCCAGGAATATCATTTTATAGAAAATCTAAAATTATTGTTAAAAGAAAACCAAATTATGAAATAGGCTGGTTTCATAATTGACCAATGATCATTTCACATAGACT